ACCTGGCTTTGAACCATGGTTCTCAGATCTCAGCCTCCTGAGTAGCTAGGATTACAGACATAAACCACTGGGTGCCTAGTCCTGCCGATTTTTGCTTTGTTTTGTTTTGTTATCATGTTTTTGAGTTTTTTGGTTTTTGGGGTTTTTTGCTGGTCCTGGGGCTTGAACTCAGGGCTGAGCACTGTCCCTGAGCTTTTTTGCTCAAGGCTACCACTTTACCACTTGAACAGCAGTGCCACTTCTAGCTTTGTCTGTTTATGTGGTACTGAAGAATCGAACCCAGGACTTCATGCATGTTAGGCAAGTGCTCTACCACTAAGCCACCTTCCCCTGATTTTTATATCTTGGTTTTTGCATCTTGCTTTTTTTGCCAAAAGTATTTATTAGATCTAAAAGGTTTTTGTTGAGTTCTTTTTTCCCCCAAGACTGAGACTCAAACTTGGTATCTGCTGCTTGCTTTCATTCATTGGCTGGCACTTTGCCACCTGTCTCTAACCCAAAGTCTTTAGGGTATTTTAAATATTGGATTGGATCATCTGCAAATAGAGGTCATGAAACTACTTTTTTCCGACATATTACTTTTTTCTCTCTTGCTTTATTACTCTGGTTAAGATTTTGAGGTTTTTGGTTTTTTGTTTTTTTTGCCGGTCGTGGGGCCTGAACTCTGGGCCTGGGCCCTGTCCCTCAGCTCTTCAGCTCAAGGCTAGCACTCTACCACTTGAGCCACAGCACCACTTCCAGCTTTTTTCTTATGTGGTACTGAGGAATCGAACCCAGAGGGCCTCATGCATACGAGGCAAGCACTCTACCACTGAGCCACCTTCCCAGCCCCAAGATTTTGAGTTTTAATTAAATTTATTTTTTGGTTGGTCATAGGGCTTGAACTCAGGTCCTGAGTACTGTCCCTGTGCTCTTTTGCTCAAGGTTAGTGCTCTGCCACTTTGAGCTACAGCTCTACTTTGTTTTCTGGTAGTTAGTTGGAGATAAGAGTCTCATGGACTTCCCTGCCTGGGCTGGCTTTAAAACAAGATCAATCCTCAGATCTCAGCCCTCCTGAGTAGCTAGGATTAAAGGTGTGAGCCATTATCACCCAACCTTACTGTATTTTTTTTTTTTGGCTTTTGGTACTGAGGAATATGATTAAGATGTGCATGAAAGTAGTGTAGACACATTTATCTTGTTCTTGACTTTAGAGGAAGTGATTTTACTTTTCCCCATTTAGGGTGATGCTGCCTATACTTTTGCCTTTATTATGTTGAGAAACATGCTTTCTTCTAATTTCTCCAGGGCCTTTCTTGTGTTATTTTTGTGGAAGGATTTTTCTGCACCTATTGATTATCTGATTTTTGTCCTTTATTCTGCTTACGTGCTTCATTATTTATTGATTTGGTATGTTGAACTATCCTTACCTGCCTGGAATGGAACTTGTATAATCTTGTCAGTGTGTTGTGGAATGTGGCTTGTAAGTATTTTATTGGGAATTTTTTACATCTATCTTCAAGGAGAAAATTGCTCTACATATATTTTTTTCTTTTTGTCATGATTAGGTTTAATAGCAGAGTAAAACTGTCTTTTTAAGCCAGGCGCTGGTGGCTCACGCTGAGGGATCACCCTTTGATCCTAGCTACTCAGGAGGCTGAGATCTGAGATCGAGGTTCAAAGCCAGCCCTGGCAGGAAAGACTGTGAGACTCCTATCTCCAATAAACCACCAGAATACTGGAAATGGCACTGTAGCTCAAGTGGTAGAGCACTCACCTTGAGCTGAAGAGCTGAGGGACAGCGCCCAGGCCCAGAGTTCAAGCCCCACAACCAACAAAAACAAAACAAAACAAAAAAAACCACCTGTCTTTTTAGGAGGAGTGTGGTAGTTTTCCTTTCTTTTCTATTTATGGAATAGTTTGCGAAGTACTGGTGTTCTTTTTTAAAGGTTTGGTAGCATTTTGTAGTGACCAACAGGCTTTTCTTTGTTGGGAGTTAATTGCTGCTTCACTTTCAGTGTTTGCTATTGATCTGTTATGTGTCCCAACAGTTGAATTTTAGCAGGTCAGATGTATCTAGAAATTTATCATTTCTTCTCGGTTTTCCATCTTATTAGAATATGAATGTTTAAATGTTATCTGATGGTTCTCTGAATTCACTGATGATTTTTTATTTTTATTTTTGTCAGTTGTGGGGCTTGAACTCTGAGCCTGGGCGCCGTCCCTCAGCTCTTCAGCTCAAGGCTAGCGCTCTACCACTTGAGCCACAGTGCCACTTCTGGTTTTCTAAGTGGCTTATTGAAGATGTCTCACAGACTTTCGTGCCCAGGCTGGCTTTGAACCGATCTCAGCCTCCTGAGTGGCTAGGATTACAGGTGTGAGCCACCGGCGCCCAGCTGATGATTGTTATGATAGCTGATTTCTCATGTCTACTTTTGTTAATATGGCTCTTTTTTCAAAATCTTTTGGTTAGTTTAGCTAAAGGTTTGTCCATATTGTTCATCCTTCCAAAGAACCAACTTTCCGCTTCATTGCTTTCTTTGAGGGGATGGGGGGATTCATGGGACCCCATCTCAACCAATAAAAAAGTTCTGTGTGGTTGTATGTGCTTGTCATCCCAGCTGTGTGGGAAGTATAACTAAGAGGATCACAGTCTAGACCAGCTTTGCTAAAAGCAACACACACACACACACACACACACACACACACACACATCTTTATCTCTTCTGATTAATTTTAGTTTGAAGTCTGCTGTGTCAGACAGAAGTATGACTATTCCTGCTTGCTTTTGGAACCCATTTATTTGGCACATATTTTCCCCTTCTTTCACTCCAGGCCTATGCTTGTCCTCACCAGTCAGATTCATTTCTTGTAGGTAACAAATGGTCAGGATTGTTTTTATTACAGTCTGCATCTCTTGATTAGAGACTTGAGACCATTAACATAAAAATTATTCAGGGCTGGGAAGGTGGCTTAGAGGTAGAGATGCTTGCCTAGCATGCATGAAGACCTAGGTTTGATTCCTCAGTAAGCATCACATAAACAGAAAAAGCCAGAAGTGCTGCTGTGGCTCAAATGGTAGAGTGCTAACTTTGAGCAAACAAGCTCAGACCCTGAGTTCAAACCCCAGGACTGGCAAAGAAAAAAAAGTATTATTCAAAGGTGTGTAGTAACCCCTGCTATTTTATTGGTTTTGTAGTACTTGATTCTCCCTTGTCTCACTTGCTTGCCTTTGTTGAGTTTTAGTCTCTCTATTGTCCCGGTAGTTTTTTTTTTTTTTTTGTCGGTCATGGGGCTTGAACTCTGGGCCTGGGCGCAGTCCCTCAGCTCTTCAGCTCAAGGCGAGCGCTCTACCACTTGAGCTACACCGCCACTTCCGGTTTTCTAGTGGTTTATTGGAGATAGGAGTCTCACGGTCTTTCCTGCCCGGGCTGGCTTTGAACCGCGATCCTCAGATCTCAGCCTCCTGAGTAGCTAGGATTACAGGCGTGAGCCACCAGCACCTGGCTTGTCCCGGTAGTTTTATCTTCTCTGTAAAGGATTCCTTTAAGATTTTCTGCAATGAGGACTCAGGCGTTGGGAACTGCGTTAGTTTTTATCCTGGAAGTTTCTGCTGAGAAATCTGTTCTTGGATTTTCTTTGTGTGTGACTTGGCACATCTCTTTCAGCTTTCAGTATTCTTTCCTTGTTCTGTACTACTGTACCTAACTATGGCATGAATAGGTTCTTTTCTGACTTTGACTCTTTTGTGTCTTAAGGCATAGAAACATCTGGAGGACTACCTCAAGATTTATTCATTTGTTTTTGCTATAGTCCATGGAGTGTTTTCCTGATTTCTTCTTACTGGAAATAGAAAAGGTACTGATTACCCTGTGTTCATTTTGTGTCCTGCTACTTTGCTGAAGGTGTTTATTAATAGATCTAAGTGTTGGCTGTTGGAATCCTTAGGCTCCTTGACTGCTTCCCTCCTTACTTGTATCCTTACTTTTCTCTCTTGCCTTGTTGCTCTGGTTAAGAACACAAGCACCATAGTTAAGAGGAGCAGAGACTGTATTTCGCCCATTTCACAGTCTTGGGATTTGGTTGCTGATAGGTTGGGAACTTTTGGTAGGGGTCACGGAACATTGTTTTTTTTTATTTCTTGTGTTTCTCAGTGGTGGCTGGTCTAACCTGGGCACAGAGCGGTGCTGTCTCATCTGGTGTGTGGTCATCTTGAGGGCTGAGGAGGTGAGGCTGGCGCTGTGCGGCTCCCCTGGTCTGGTGGGGCAGGTGTACAGTACCGGGTCATGCCACCTGGTCAGGGGCCAGTGTTAGTTCCTCCAGAGCCCCCACCCCTGGAGTAGGGTCGCTGCAGACTGCAGACTGAACCCCCGGCTCAGGTGCAGAGCCCCTCGTGGGGTGGGGGCCCACAGGCAATCAGGCTTGCTCACAGCCACAGAGAGTGGGCCCTGACCCCGGCACCCCACAGCCTGAGCTCCCCACCATCGAGCTACTGAGAGGGCCCACATCCGACCCCATTGCCCAGAGTCCTGGGCTTCCTGACATGGGCCTCTGTGGTATGCTTGGGAGTGAGGAGTGTTGGATGCTAGGTGAGGAGCGAGGTGAGTTCTGACTGGGCCCGCATCCCCATTTTGTTAGGTGCTGAGTAAATAGTTGTGATAATACCCTCCCTAGCAGCTTAAAAATTCTTCAGTAGCTAAATATTTTATTCAATCCAAACTTTTTTCTGGCCAGGCCCTGGTAGCTCATGAGCACCTATACTACCAGATACTCAGGAGACTGAGATCTTAGAATTGCGGTTCAAAACCAGCCCAGGTAAGACAATCTGAGATTCTTCTCTCCAATAATCTACACAAAAGCCAGATGTGGAGCTGTGGCTCAAGCAGTAACCTTGAGCAAAAAAGCTCAGGGACAGTGTCCAGGCCCCGAGTTCAAGCCCCAGGAGCACCTCCCCCCCCATCTTCACAAATGGAAGAACTATTCAATGCCAGACCAGTCTATTTGAATAGGCCAAACTACAATAAAACTCCAAACAAATAACATTTATTTCTCTTTTACACAGGTATTTCACAGCATGAACATCACATTGCCTTCAGAGAAAGGTGCTTTTATACCATTATAGTTCACTGTTTACTGCACAGGCATTGAACACCTTCATTAACATGATGAGACAATTTGCTGGTAACATTTAAACACACATAGACATTGGCTTCAATATCTCAACAACAGCTTTTGGATATAACCAAGGAAATCCATCAAAGTATTTGATGATACTTGCTAATATTTTACAAGCAAATAATAGTTAACTCTGCATAGTTTATACAATAGGCTGTGGCAATAAATAATATCACCAATCTCATCAACTGGCCACAAAAGCCTAACATTCATTTTAATTGATATGAAATGTTCTACTGGCGTAGCTTCAACAGAGCCTTCAATGTTGTAGCTAACCTTGAGTACGTAAAAAGGAAAAAGTACTAAACTGGACTAGGAAAGCATGTTTGGTTAACTACAAATATGTCATGTTCACATGTTACATTCCTAACATGAAGGCAGATATTTAAATAAAAAAACACTAGCAGTCCAGAACATGTGAATGTGCAAATCATGAGGAAACATTGCATTTAAATTTGCACTCATTTGCAAGTTACAGTACTAGCTCAGTGGAGACACTAAGGAGGAGGACTGGAGGGACCTGGTCGCTGTGCAGTAGGGAAGTGTCTCTGAGCATCGGCCGCCTCGGGGCTGTCCCCGTGAGGGCGGGAGGGCGGCAGCATGCTTCGCCATGGAAGACAGGGAGAACCTGAATCAGTAGCAATCTCTTCCTTGATTTGGTGCAAAGGTCCCTCACCGCCTTTCAACTGCGAGCTCACCTCCAATGCTTTCTCAATCAGGTTTTCTGAATGCTGCGAAGAGGAGCTTCCCTCACACAATGCAGGTTGGGTTGGGTAGGTGAGAGTAACGAGGAGCATGCGCGTGTGCTCTGCCTACCGAGCGCGGGGTCGCTCGGCTGGGGCCTCACTCAACTTCTACACAGTGTGGGAACGACTGCCTGGAAAGCAGCAGGGCCGGATTCCTGTTTTGTGTTCTTAGATTAATGCTTTGTGTGACTAGAGGATGTCGAGGATTCTATTGGGGATGTTGAAAGCATTGGGGAGAACCCTGGTTTTCAGTGTGCCGTCGGCGCCGCAGGAGAAGAGCCGGCCGTCCTGGCTGATGTCGATCTGCATGACCCCTGCCCCGAGGTTTCTGAAGATGGACTGCTTGGCATGCTCATTCCTGAACGAGTGGATCAGGCCGTGGCCTGACAATCTCCACACCTAGTTCACGAGGAAAGCAAAACGGTAAGTCATGAAAACTCTTCTGCTCCACCAAACCTCACCACTACCCACTTCCCTATCCACTGCGGCAGCCCAGCCGCCTGCCTGGAGGGGGTGCCAGAGGCTGCCTTCCCATTCCCGCTCCACATGAGCCATACACGTCCCGCCCCTAGTGCAAGTAAATGTGTGTGAGAGACAGACGGAGAGAAGGAAGAGAGGAGAAGAGGGGAGAAGAGAGGAAGGGAGGAAGGAGGTAAGGGAGAGAGGAAGAAGATGAGAGAGGGGAAGAAAGCTGGAGGAGAGAAGGGAAGGAGGGAATGGAGGAGAGGGGACACAGTGAGGAAGGATAGAAGGGAGGAGGAGGTGGGCGAGGGGAGGGGAGAGTAGACAAAATGAAACCAAGCCAGAAAAACACACACACACAAACCCTCAAAACCTTTGCTCACATGAAGGGGGGGGGGGCAGGCAGGAAAGGCTGGCCCACTGAGGCGGCGCCCAGCCTGTCTACTTTCCAAGATGCCCACTCCAAAGGTGGCAGTGGTTTGTTTTCCCGTCCCACAGAGCAGCGCACAGCCACTCACCTTCATGTTCCCCTCCGCGGAACCTGTAGTGAAGTACTCCTCACAAGGGTCCAGCGCCAAGGCCTTGATGGCCGAGTCGTGCGCCTGGAATGTGTGGATCAGCTGGCGCTGTCGGATGTCAAAGATGCAGATGTAGCCTTTTCTCCCCCCTGAGATGAGGAGCTGCTGCCTGGGCGCATACTGAAGAACTGTGGCCCCGTGATCGTGGCATGTAAAACCTGAAGAGGAAAACGTTTTTGAGGAAAGTCTTTCATCATGTTGAAGCCCACATCTAAGAGTGTGCACTATGCACGTGAAGCGATGGACGGTGGCTTGGATAGAAAGCTGACCCTCGCGTTCCCTGCTGGTAGAGCCCAGCACTGGAGGTGAGGGCCGGTGAGGGCTTGGCCTTCCTCAGTGCAATCTGACGGCTGAGCGACTAGAGTGTGTGCTGTATTTGCCTGGTCCCTTCCTGCCACCCTCCATGAGGTTTGGTGCTTTGATTCACCATATCCTGCCATGCCATGATATTCTGTCTCACTGAGCCCAGAAACAATGAAACTAGCCAACTATGGACTGAGGCTACTAGCCCAAACCAGTCTTCTTCCTCTGCTTCTGTCAGAGCAAGAAACATCTATTACAATAAAGCCCTTTTTGGGAGGAGAGGGACCGTACTAGGGTTTCAAATCGAGTCATGCTTACTAGGCTTGAACTCAGGGCCTGGATGTTGGGTCTGGGTTTTTGTGGTCAAGGCAAGTGCTCTACCACTTGTGCCACACCTCGACTTCAGGCTTTTTTTTTTTTTGCCAGTCCTGGGGCTTGAACTCTGGGCCTGGGTACTGTCCTTGAGCTTCTTTTTGCTCAAGGCTAGCTCTCTACCACTTGAGCCCCAGTGCCACTTCTGGCTTTTTCCTGCCCAGGTTGGCTTTGAACTGCGATGCTCAAATCTCGGCCTCCTGAGTAGCTAGGATTATAGGAGTGAGCCACTGGCGCCCAGCTACATGTGATATTTTAAATCTGCCTGTATTACAGATTGCTACTGTGAAGAGCAAGCTTGTCAGTGGCTCTCCAGACGCCTCCTCATTGCCCATCTGTAACAGACTACGCTACCTATGCTTCCCGTCAGTTCTCTTCAGAAGTAACAACTACTCAACTCAGTCCTGCCAACATCTTGCATTATAAGGTAAAGAGTTTGGGTAAGTGTTCAACTTGTGCCCTGGGCCCTGTAGTGAGGTGGTGGAGCTAGTGGAGGAAGTGCGTCACAAGGATGCGTCTTTGGAAGGGTCAGCAGGACCCCTGGCCACCATGAGGTAAGCAGCTTCCTTGCTACAAGGTCAACCAACTGAAGCTTGTGAAGCATAAGCCCCAAACCAACTCTTTTCTGTGTGAGCCAGTTATGCCAGCCTCACACACCTTGCCAGCTTCTCTGCATGCTATTTTGTATTACTGAACCAGGGCCTCACACACACTAGAAGATGCTCCTATGGCACCACCACAGCTCTTTGATTGATTGATTATTTATATTTGGTTGGTCGTGGGGCTTGAACTCTGGGCCTGGGCACTGTCCCTGTGCTCTTCAGCTTAAGGTGAGCGCTCTCCCACTTGAGCCACAGTGCCACTTTTGGTTTTCTGGTGGTTAATTTGAGATAAGAGTCTCATGGACTTTCCTGCCTGGGCTGGCTTTGAACCGTGATCATTAGATCTCAGCCTGAGTTGCAAGGATTACAGGCGTGAGCCACCGACACCTGGCTGAATTTTAGTATGACTAAAAAAAATATCCATAATGGGCTGGGAAGTTGGCTCAGTGGTAGAGCACTTGCCTTGCATGACTGAGGCCCTGGGTTCGATTCCTCAGCACCACATAAGCAAAAAGAAAAAAGCCGGAAGAGGCGCTGTGGCTCAAGTGGTAGAGCGCTAGCCTTGAGCTGAAGAGCTGAGGGACAGCGCCCAGGCCCAGAGTTCAGACCCCATGACTGGACCCAAAAAAAAAAACAAAAACAGAAAAAAACCCACAAGTGGCGCTGTGACTCAAGTGTGAGCTGAAGAGCTGAGGGACAGCGCCCATGCCCAGAGTTCAGGCCCCACGACCGGACCCCCCCCCCAAAAAAAAAGTCCATAAAAAATATTTAACTGGTTAAACAATGTTAACAATTATTTACAGCAAAAAATTTTGCAAGCTTATGAGAATAACTACATCTTTCAAAATGTGTATCAGCATATTAAAAATCTTTGTTTTACCCAAACCTGTTACAGAATGGAGTCTACTTTTTAGGCAGCATTATGTAAAAAAGATTTTTTTAGGACAGTTAATTTCTATTCAACAAAAAGAATAGTACTGGGTCTGGGAATGTGGCTTGGTGGTAGAGTGCTTGCCTAAAGCAAAAGAAGCTCTGGGACAGCGCCCAGGCCTTGAGTTCAAGCTCCAAGACTGGCAAAAAAAAGGGTATTTAAATGGTATTAATATCATTTCTTTACTATAAACCTAACCATAAAACAAAATGAAGGCTAACTTCTTTAATATATTACCTCTTTTCTACTGAATCCAGTAAATACTTTGTAAAGTGTGCACAGCATACTTTCCATACCACATGTATTACTTACCTCAGCTAGGCAGCCAACATTCTAGTTTTTGTTACTCTAAATGTTTCCATTTTCAACCTACAAATAAAATCCAGGAGAGTGTTTCTTCATATTGTATTGAAAGTCGCAGACGTAACTCACCATGAATGAGGCTGTTGGCAGGTGATATCAGCGTGTCCCAGAGGCATACATTTCTTTTAAAGAAACAAAATGTTCCATATATAATTGCTATAAGGGACAAGTTGTCTTCAAGCCAAAACATATATGTTCTTACATTTATAGAGCCAAGATTCTTAGCTAGGAGGGGGACAGAGACAGGGCCCCAGGTAGAAACAGTATGGGCCATCTCCCAGGATCCCATCTGTCAGTGAATCCTCACCCCACCCGCTCCACCTCCTTCCCGTTCCCCTTCCATGGAGACTGCACAACTTCTGAGTAAAAAGGACATTCTGTGCCCTCAGGCAGTACAGGGCAGAAATGACAGATGTGATCCCCAGACAGGGGCTGTCAGTGAGAAGCGGGGAGCACAGACAAGGCTGAGGGCGTTGCCCGTAATTCTAAGAACCTAATGGAAGACTGGATAACTTTAACACGAATATGCTACATGCTTTTTGGTAGACCACTTTAGAACTGTTTGGCTTTTCTCTTTTTGGTAAGGAAAACTATTCATGAAGTTAGAGCATACAACCTTTGGAATCCACATTTTCTAGAGAAAATAGTTTTCTGCCTAAAATGCTCTTCTGTGAACGTACCTATTGTCATTGGACTGTCCAGACGTTGCAACTAGACTTGAAGAGGTAATAAATGCAAAGTCACTTGCGGCTTTACTGTGGCACTGCCAGCTCTATGGAAAACAAAGGGCAACTGATGTGATCTAAACCATTGACATCTGCAAGGAACAGCAGTTCTGCTGCAGCATTCAATTCATGGTAAGAACAGTTTTAAACTCAGGTCTAAATAATAATAAGTGGTAGTAGCTGATTAACAGATACGGGCATATTATTTTGCTAGTAATCAATGTTTTTTTAACCACAAAGAGCTGAAACATGGGATTAAAGTATGAATTTTTTACATTTGTGTAAGAAAAGAATATAAGACGTCAAAGTATATGAACTAGCCAGGTACAGCAGCACATGCCCATAGTCCTAGCTACTCTGGAGGCTGAGACAGGAGGCTTGCTTTAAATTTAGGATTTCATAGCCAACCTGGGATGCAGAGCAAAAAGCTCATTCCAAAAAAAAATTCAAACTTAGCCGAGCCGTCCACGTTAGTGCTAGTAACCTTAAATGCATGAAGGAATCTTCTGAATCTCCATCTATGAGATGGCAGAAGTCCCGCACAAAATAGTGCCCCTTCCCCCCAACACAAAGGCGCGCTTGTCCTCACCAAGTATTTTAATTCGGGTTAAGGAGCAGTCAGCCAGGATCACTTTGTAATCTTGTAAAGCAAAAATTCTGGAGGAAATCTGAATACATGTTCAGAACCTGTTGCCAGTTCTGCAAACTCTATATAGGTTAAGATAATTCTAAACTTAGTAATTAGATTTTAAAAAGTATAATACTTTTTACTTAGATAATAAAAAAAATGTATCCTAAATTTGATCGCTACAGAAAAAGAAAAAAAAACTTGAAAAATTGTTTGAGGCCAAGGTTGTACTCCAAGGTAAAAAATAACCTTTTTGTCTTTAGGTCATTTCAGTCTAAAGAACTAGGGTACGGATGATGAGCGCAGGGGCAAACTGTCTCTTCAACAGAATCACCATGAGATTCACTGTGTGAAACGTGCTTCAAAAAGAAGGCATTCTCTGGGTAGGTGAGGGATACATACCATGTAAGGTTTAGGATTAGCTGAAGTCTGGTTCACTTGCCAGATACTCAGAAACCCTTCTCCATCTGCAACACCACACTGTAAGAACGGGGCGCATGTTAACACAGCTCCTCAGAATGCCTACCAAAGGTAAAACCACTTATGGGAAGGAGAGCCACTCAGGTCCCACGTGGGGCTCTTGGTTGTAGCTCCTACAACCCAGCACTTCCTTTCCATATGCGTGCCATCACTGCCGCCTGACCCCTCTACAAGGAGCACAGCCAACAGGCAGCCCGTGCCCTGCTCGCTGTGCTGGCCGACGCCAGAAGCAGCGTTTGCTACCTCACAGCAGTTTGGGGATCTTTAAGTGGATGACTGAGCCACACTAAATTGTAGGTAGAGACAGAAATAGAATCCAACAAATTACCTGCTCAGCTTAAATCCAGATCATTGAATTCTTTTAGATATAGTTTGATAATCATTACTCCTGATAGCCTCAATTATTTTTGGAATGATTTAGTTGACTTCCAAGAACTAACCTTGTTACCCTGTGAGTTAAAATATAATCTAGTAACTCTTGCATTGCCAGCTTGACGGAAGCAGACAAGTTGCTGAGGTCGTGTCCATTCGAACATTCGGACACTGCCATCCTGAGCACCTGTAAGATCTGAACACAGAAGGCAAAGGTCAGTGTTGTGGTATTTTTAATCCTATAAATTTCACAGTAACACAGGACGCTAAAAACCCTTAGCTCATCAGTGAAACACTTACAGTATTGATGGACAGGGTGGGATGTCATTCTCTTAACATTGTGTAGGTTCCTTTTCATAAGCTTTAAAAGAAGAGGAAATGAATTTCTTTTTGTATCCAGGAGCAACAGGAAGGATGTATTCAGAGCAGTTCAGATTCTGCTACTACTTCCTGCAGCGTAGGAGCTTCTGGGCGGCTGTTGTGGAAGCACCGGATGGCGTGGGACAGCCTAGAGCCAGTGCACACTGAGGCCACAAGTTGCTTTATCAAGTGACAAAGAGAACTCTACACCAGGTGTTTGTCCCTGAAGACAAGCAGGAACACCTCCAGGTTTGTGTGGGATAGAGTCTTATGATAGTACACGCTGGTCTCCAAACTCATCGTCTTCCTGCATAAGCAGGAAAAATCAACTCTTTTCTGGCTTTTTCTTTTTGACATTACAGGCATGCACCACAATGCCCAGCTCATCTCCTGATTCTTGGGACTAGAATGTAGCACTGAGACCTCCTTCAGATATAGTTGGTAACAAGAAGTGCCCTGAGGCACCTGGCACTATGAGTGCACAGGGACGGCTCCCTTTGCATCTGGACAGTGACGGCCGATGCTCAGTACCACACTCCTAGCTGGGTACATTGACAAGCAGTCGTGAAAGCTACAGATGCATACCTACTGCTCCTCACCCTCATCTGTGCTGTGTACGGAAGAACTAGGAACATACCACACTGGCTCCGGTGCTGGTCTGTCCGCTACCTAACCAGGGCAGAGATGAAGGGGGATGCACCTGGGAATGGGAAGCTGTGCTGGCTTGATACAGCGTAGTGGTGGAACCTCGGTAATCAACATCATCTGAGCTGTGGAAAATAACAGAAGGGTTACTGTGAAGGTTCCATTTTCTCTTCCAGTCGGTCATAGGGCTTAAACTCGGGGCTTGGGCACTGGCCTTGAGATCTTCTGCTCAAGGCAAGTGCTCTATCACTTCTGGTTTTCTGGTGGTTAATAAGAGATAAGAGTCTCATGGAAGCCGGGCACTGGTGGCTCACGCCTGTCATCCTAGCTACTCAGGAGGCTGAGATGTGAGGATCGCGGTTCAAAGCCAGCCCCGGCAGGGAAGTCTGTGAAACTCGTATCTCCAGTAAAGCACCAGAAACCGGAGTGGTGCTGTAGCTCAAGTAATAGAGCCGCTCACCTTGAGCTGAGGGACAACACCCAGGCCCAGAGTTCAAGCCCCACGACTGACAAAAAAAAAGGCTCATGGACTTTCCTGCCCAGGTTGGCTTTGAACTGCGATCCTCACATCTCAGCCTCCTCACATCTCAGCCTCCAGAGTAGCTAGGATTACAGGCATGAGCCATTAGCACCCAGCTGTATTCTACAATATTGTGAAATATGTGAAATTTATTTAATCACTTAATCTCAATTAAAAAAAAAGTGAGAGAAGGGATGGGTCAGGAGCGATGGGTGACATGTTCTCAGACACCTTGTATTCTTATACTGTTTTGTAGAATGGGAACTTCTTTGTACAACTACTTAAAGATATTAAGTTTAAAAAAATAAATACTAAATATCCATTGAGAAACTAGGCATACATCTTATTGTAGCCAATTTTAGTACTGGTTTACTTGAATCCAACTTAATGTCTCATGTTTGGGGACTTTATTGCTGTATAAATGGGAACTATTTGTGTTTCAGTTTTCCATATATCAGGGTTTATACAAGCTAGGCAAGCAAACTACCTCAGAGCCTCCTTTCTTATTACCATTTTTCTAATATATTATCACATAAAAATGTGAAAGTCACTTTTGAGGGTGGAATGGAACAGTTCCATGTTCTCTGTGGTGACAGCCTGGCTCTACTGTACGCATGAGAATCCAATAAACACCAGGAGAGAGGCCATTACGCACCACTCCCAGGCAATTAATAAAAAGTTGTCTACATTTCTAGCTGCAAGAAAGATGTGCAACATTACTCAGTAAATGTGACTCATAAATCAATCTAGTTAATGTACTTAGGCAACTGAAACAAAAAATATACATAAGTCATCTAAATTTACCGAATACTGTAGGATTCCTGACATTTGAGGGATAAATGCCAAAGAGCTCTTAGCCTTCAGGCTTTCATATCAGATTATTCTGAAAATACTACAGTCCTAGCTACTTAAAAAGGTTGAGATCTGAGGATCAAGGTTCAAAGCTGGAAAGTTCATGAGACTCTTTTATTTCCAAGTAACCACTAAAAAGTCAGAAGTGGAGCTGCGGCTCAAGTAGTAGAGTGTCAGCCCTTGAGGAAAAAAGCTCAGGGAAAGTACCCAGGCCCCGAGTTCAAGTCCCAGACCTAGCACACACATACCAAAAAAAAATGCCTGTGAATCATTTAATTAATGGGAAGAAATATGAATCATTTGTTCACTAATATCGGTGAAACCTCTTATTGGCCACTAATGCAATTACATTTGTTTCTTATGCAACTGAAGAGATGTCTTTCAACCCAACAACTTAAGAGCAGGTGCAGGCTGAAAAAAAAACTACATTTCTAGTTAGCTATGTATGGGACAGACCTTTTAGATTCTCGGTCATATTCTTCTCCAATCCATATATAAGATTGACAGGCCAGGAGAGAAGTGACATCAAGTTCTTGAACATCGTGTGTGGAAGCCAAAACAATTTCGTTGCAGTTTGCCTGTAAAGCAAAGGAAGTGTTGATTTCAGTGACTTTACTTTTTTAAAAAAAGTATATTCTTTATAATAATCTCAGCTTTTACCTTATTAACAGAAAATGCCATGATCATGTCAGATTCCTTATGAATGACCTTTGCCTTTCCGCCAGGATAACCCAGATCAGCTTCAACCTAGAAAACACCACTGGCTTTCAGTTTCTGCAGCACAGCCGCAGAGAGACACACAGCCCACAACATGCACAAGCTGGGTAAGAAGAAAATGTAGTAGCAGCAAGAAAGTAACTTTAGTGTGTTGAGAATTAGGTTTTGGAAAATTTGTTGATGCCCTAGAGTAAGCCCAATTATGAAGATTTCCAATATGATTGTAAGGTATTGTTACTTTTAAAAGTACGAATGAAAATATGTATCTCAGCCCTTCCCAAAGGGCACACTTACTTTATCTGCAGGAAGAATATACATTGCTAAGAGACACAGAGTGGGGAAAAGTTGTAGAAAGATACAGGAGACACAGAAGAGGTAAAGCCCTTTAGGATACAGGTGATGGGACCAGAATAAGGAGAAACTGGTGAGAAAGGGATGTAGGAGGCTGAGAGGAAGGTGCTGGAGCTAAGGGTTAGAGATCAGAGGAAGGAGAGAAGCAGCAGAATGGAATGAAAAACCAGTCATGCTCAAGAACAGTCTAGACCAGGTGGTGGATAGGGACAAGAAAGGAAGAAGCAATGGCTAGAGGCAGAAAAGCAGCTCCTGCCCTGTGCTGGGAGATGGCATGGGAGCAGTGAGCGCTCTGATAAGCAATCGTGGTTAGTACGAGAAAGAAGTCAGCTCCCTGAACTTTGAAGGACAAGCTAAATAGAGCTTGGAATACTACCTTGATGTGGCAATCCTCTGATACGTGGTTTTGTTTGACCTGCTCCACATGTTCTTCTACAGACTAAATAAACCACACGTCACAAACACAAACACATGCACAAAACAAAATCATAAAAGAAAAATTTTAAGCTAGAGTGGTCACTCCATCACTTAAAGATGTCAATGAAAACTGAAGAAAAAAATGAATAAAATGTCATCAGATAACCACAGTAAAAAGACAAAGTTACCCTAACTATTTACATATACACAGAGACATGCCACTTCACAATAAAGCTTACTTATCATTTATGTAACTTCTTTTACATAAATACAGACAAACCCCTTTCTCACCCACCCCAACTTCCAGGTCTGGGAAGTGCATCCATGGCCTTGCCCATGCTAAGCCAGCCCTGTACTACTGAGCTCATAAAAACCAGTAATTCTCAAGAAACTTTTTAGGTAATTGTTTTCAGAATTCATGTGCTAATGTAATTCACTGAATTTTACAAAGTTATCAGTCGCTGAAATCCCACCTAACAGTATTTATTTTTTGTTGTTATTTATTTTTTGGCCAATCCTAGGGCTTGAACTCAAGGCCTGGGCACCGTCCCTGAGCTCCTTTATGCTCAAGACTAGCACTCTACCACTTGAGCTACAGCACCACTTCTGGCTTTTTCTGTGAAAGGAAAAAAAAAATCAACTGGAGATAAGAGTCTCATGGTCTTTGCTGCCCAGGCTGGCTTTGACCTATGATCCTCAGATCTCAAGTCTTCTGAGTGGCTAGGATTACAGACATGAGCCACTGGTGCCCAGCAAATTTCAATTGTATTATTATTTTTTTTGGTCTACTATGGGGCTTGAATTCAGGGCCTGGGCACTGTCCCTGAGCTTTTGCTCAAGGACAGTACTCTGTCACTCGAGCTACAGAGCCACTTCTGGCCTTTTCTGTGTATGTGGCACTAAGGAATTGAACCCAGGGCTTCATGCATAGTAGGCAAGCACTCTACCAGTAAGCCACATTCCCAGCCCAACACATACGTAATTTTTAAATCCATAGGGGAAAACCAGTGCTCACAGGGCTGACCCCAAGTAGGTGTATGATAAGTGGGTGACTGGGAAAATGAGCTGCTGCCCCGGGTAAGGGCAGAAGCTGAGCAAGCAGTTCCACCCCTGGCTTGGGGAGCACTGTGGAAACTGTGACTGTTTTCATTTTCCAAAATGAAACACAATTCCTTCTTTTCTCAGACTATACTTGCCAAACCTTTGGTTCCTCTCCGACTGCTCATTACCTCACTGAATGGACTGAAATGCTCGTGTCTCTTTCATAAGGCAGTCAGTCAGTCAACCATCTAAATGTTTGGTGCTTTTTGAATCATGTATGACTTGCTAATTAGATTGGCTTTAAGATCACCATGTAGTTTCTGCCTTGCTTTGTAATGATAGTTGTATTTCATCGTATTTTCTACATTTCTGTACTTTATTCTCTCAAAATTATCCTAAATTTGTTGCATTTACTTAAACCTGTTCACTTCTAAATGAGGGCTATGTTCAATTTTCAATTAAATTACATTTAGAGATATTTGTAGAAGACTATTAAGACTATACTAATTTAAGAACTTCCAATTCTATCACTGCAAAATTATAAAATTCTAATAGCAAAAGTATTTTAAAAGAAACACCAATTTGCACTTTATTATATGTGATTTATCAAAGGACTTCATGTATGTTGTTTCATTACTATAGTTTTAAAAGTTCATTGTAGTAAACTTTGGCTATTATAATGTTTTTAAGTTCCAACTAAAAAGTTTCAAAATAAAGTGCAAATTAGAAATGTTAAAGAAAACTACAAAATTACAACAGAAAATACTTTTCTCACAATACCTCGCTCTGTTTTCTTTTCTTGGTGAAAATGTATCTAATAAATGTCTCTTGGAGGATTTCTTGTTTAACTAGGAAATGCCAAAGTCTCTTGACTGGAAGTGCAGAAGAATCTCGGGACCTACGAGAAGTATTTTAACATATCACATTGCTTTTGTTTATTAGAAATGAATAGCATACTTGCAGAAATTTGTTAATCTAATACAAAGGGGACAGCAATGAAGCTCAACAAAATTTTATATACTATTTTACAGTCTTAAAAATGTTACCATCCAAAAGAACCTCACAATCTTAAAAAAAAGTTATATCCACAGGGATTAAGATGTCAGACAGAAGATAAAAACAACAAAAACCTGCTGTGTCATCATTTCTCAATACTTAGACTAAGACCAAAGGTAGAACTAGTTAATGTATCTATTGCTAACTTACCCATAAAAAGGTCAGAAACACCTTATTTGCAAATGTAGATCATCCAAAAGAATGTTCTCTAAGAGTTCTGAAAATAACTACAGAAATATAGAAGATGTAGAAATATAAAGCTCTTGGCTATATATCTAATGAATTAGACATTTTTTAACAACTTCCTAACCAGATTTCTGATGTTTTCCTCAGAAAATACTAGAAGGGGATTGCAGGTTCAAAAATGATAAGAATTTTGAAGGTTACTGGCACTTGAAAAGCTTTCTTACTTGAATGGAGTATTTTCAGGTTCTAGCATTGCTTTATTCCGAAGGATAGCTGGTCCAGCTCCTACTGAGAGGTCAGATGGATACGTGTTGACATAGTTGGGGGGTGGGCCTTCAAACTGATCCATTTTCTCCTGCAGGATCTGTTCCCAGTTCTCCAAGTTCTTAATCACACCAATACCTAATGGTGACGTTACAGGTAGCTCTAAAAGATAACCAAATGTCATTTTATTTTGGTAAAACATATTGGTCATCATCCACATATTTCCAAAATCCATTAAGAGACAAGGCTTCTGAAAATATAAGTAAATCTGAAAATGTTCATCTAATATCATTTGGATCTGGGAGGCTTTCAATAAAACAGAAGGTCAGCTTACTAAAATAAGTTGAAAAAATGTCCAGCCTCCGAAATCTGGTTTGCTGCTCTTTCATCTTCTATTTGAGTGATTCTTGGTAGGAATTAATAAAACCATAGATTGGAGCCTGGAATAAGTTCAACTTTTTAAAATCTCCTATGGAGTATTTTTTAAGTAGCAAATGGTCTTTTATACAGATTTTGTAGCATCATTTAATTGTATTTAATTAACAATGATTTTCAAATTCCACACTCACCAGAGAATTCCAGTCCAGCAATGGGAAAGAAATTCTTGACATTGTGAAGCGCCAGCTTAACCACTGTCAAGTGCATAAGAGCCCAGCTGTTCAATGGGTACAAAAATGTTCTAATTAAAAAATGAAATCACTAGAGCACTTGCCTATCATGCTTGAAGCCCTGTGTTTAATCCCCAACCCTGGGGGTCTTGGGAAGAAAGGAAAAAAGAAAACTAGGGGGCTGGGAATGTGGCTTAGTGGTAGAATGCCTGCCTAGCATGCAGGAAGCCCTGGGTTCCACTCCTCACTACCACATGCACAGAAAAAGCCGGAAGTGGCGCTGTGGCTCAAGTGGTAGAGTGCTAGCCTTGAGCAAATGAAGCTCAGGAACAGCGCCCAGGCCCTGAGTTCAAGCCCGTGTACTGGCAAAAAAAAAAGAAAGAAAAACTATGAGAGAAGTGATGTTGTCATTTGTTTACTCCAATCTTCAACTCAGAAAACCAGCTGTCATTTTTATTCACAAAAATGGCTCCTGGGCTGGGAAGGTGGCTCAGTGGTAGAGCGCTTGCCTTGCATGCCTGAGGCCCTGGGTTCGATTCCTCAGCACCATATAAGCAAAAAAAAAAGCTGGTAGTGGCGCTGTGGCTCAAGTGGTAGAGTGCTTGCCTTGAGCTGAAGAGCTGAGGGACAGCGCCCAGGCCCAGAGTTCAGGCCCCACGACCGGACCCCAAAAAAAAAAAAAAATGGCTCCTTTGAATTTTTTTTTTTTGGTCATTCATGGGGCCTGAACTCTGGGCCTGGGCGCTGTCCCTCAGCTCTTCAGCTCAAGGCAAGCGCTCTACCACTTGAGCCACAGCGCCACTTCCGGCTTTTTCTGCTTATGTGGTGCTGAGGAATGGAACCCAGGGCTTCATGCATGCAAGACAAGCACTCTACCACTGAGCCACCTTCCCAGCCCCGTCCTTTGAAATCTTTGAAGCATAAGATATATAAATATATATATATTGAAAATTACCTATTAGAAAAAGCTGTCAAAAAGTCACATAAAATCTAATAATACATAAATAAAATTATATAAAGTTCCAGTAGCACATCAAGAAATTTTTTTTTTTATTAAAAATGTTGGTGTTGCCAGGCTCCAATGGCTTAACCCTGTAATCCTAGTTGCTCAGGAGGCTGAGATCTGAAGGTCATGCTTTGAAGACAGCCTATGAAGAAAAGTCCAAGAAACTATCTCCAAAACAATCAGCATAAAGCAATGCTGGAGGGGTAGTTTAAGAGGTAGATTGTCACTCATGAACAATGCAGTGTACTATAAATAGGAGCAAGAGGCGTTTGTGTATACACACACACATAAAATACTGCTTACTTTCTACATGAAAGCTATTCTTTGAAAGTAATATTCTACCTTCTAGAAATTTACTAATGTAATTTAAAATTAATATCAGGTTTTTCTGCAAAAGAAAAGAAAGCAAGGCCTTACTTACCTGTAGGAATTTGGATCCTGGTGTTCCTGTATTTGTATGTCTGAAAAAAAGGCATCATCATCTTCATCATCACTGTGAATGCTTTCATCAGAATCATATATCACACCACTATCAGACAGAGGAAGAAATGGCTGCAGGAAAAGATGTAGTTTACTAAATATATTAAATAGTAATACATTGCTTAATAACTAGGATACATTTTGAGAAATGTACTCTGAGGCAATCTTGTCATTGTGTGAATGTGATAGTGTTTTTACACAAAGTATCTACAAACATCACTAGGTGAGATCTAATTATCACATATCACACACCCAGATCCGGATCTCTATCATCTATCTATCTATAGTCTGTGTGTGTGTGTTGGGCCTGGGGCTTGAACTCAGGGCATGGGTGCTACCCCTGAGCTTTCTTGTTTAAGGCTAATGCTCTACCACTTAAGCCACAGCTCCACTTCTGGTGTGCGTGCGTGCGTGCGTGCATCTGTGTGTGTGTGTCTAATTAGAGATAAGAGTATCACAGACTTTCCTGCCTGAGCTGGCTTTGAACCATGATCTTCAGGTCTCAGCCTCCTGAGTAGCCAGGATTACAGGTGTGAACCACAGGCACCAGGCTTTAACAAGACATATTTGGCAAGGATTTATTTTAGCATACAAAGATCCTTGTTTTATTAACTAAATACAAGTCAGTAGCCTCAGGAGACAGGCCAACACAATTCCTGGTAGAATCCTGACAGAATATAACCTTGCAACTCTGTACCCACAATTTGCCTAAGAATGTTCTCTAAGGTTGCAAGAAGGCTGTTCAAACAAGTTTTTAGTTCTCTTAAGAGTGTATGACTGGAATGGTGTGAGCTGGAACACAAGGTTTTGTGTTTCTCTTAAGTTCTTAGGTGTTGCTATCATTCTGGGACCACACTTTGAGAACCACTAACATCATTTACATGATCAAAGTCTTTATGTAGCAAAACAAGATCTCAAAACTCACTTTGAAAGACTTTTTGAAGTGCAGCTCAGCTTAACTGAAACAGAACTCTTTAATATGGTAGCTGTAATAATGTTACCATGGGAAGAGGCATGATAGGAGTTGTGTTTCTTTATGGGTATGGACGGCAAGGTGTCACTGGTGTTAATGGAGAGGAGCTTATCAATCAAAGGGAAGCAAGTACGCACTGGCACCTGCCCTGCACAGTATGACCCGGGTTATATGGGATGTAGTCACCATGAGTACTCCATCCTGACAAGTTTTCTCTGCTGTGTGGAAACAGGGCCTCACTACAACCCAATCAACCCCCAAACATCCACCATTTTCTAATTCTATGCTGGCCAGGAAACTACTAAGAGGAGAGTCTAGAGGGTAAATACAAGCATCCCCATTATAGACAGAGATGGTGCAGGTTATATGTTAATATGCTGAGTTTGGTTATACCCAAGTCTCACAGGACTCACCCACCATCAAGTCTGTATTCATATGTAAATTTACTAGGACCACTGTTTTTGGATTTGAGAGAACAAATCCAAAAGCTGCCCTGTTGTGTGTATGTGATCCTGGTAATACAAGTCAATAAAACAGACACACTTAAAGCATGCACATTACACACCCCTTACCTTGGCAACAAAGTAATCCCACATACTAAGTTCTGGAGGGATAAACTTTTCTTTGTAAGACGGTCTTTCTGCAGGCACTGGTGGTGGGGTGGCATCTTTTCCAGGCCTTCCAGGGACCAGCATTCGCATGTTAAATCTCCTCCGGTGTTTATCTATGTCTTCAGAAGGAACAGGAGGTGCTGAAGAAAGATTTTTAAAAACCAATCATTTCCTTTTAATTCTCCTTTTGCCATGATTTATTCTAAGCTCAGTTACTAATATTGGTGCTTCGGGGCTGGGAAGGTGGCTCAGAGGTAGAGCGCTTGCCTTGCATGCATGAGGCCCTGGGTTCGATTCCTCAGCACCACATAAGCAAAAAGAAAAAAGCCAGAAGTGGCGCTGTGGCTCAAGTGGTAGAGCGCTACCCTTGAGCTGAAGAGCTGAGGGACAGCGCCCAGGCCCAGAGTTCAGGCCCCACGACCGGAACCAAACAAACAAACAAACAAAAAAAACAGCTAATATTGGTGCTGCTGCTTATCTTTCCAGTTCTTTCATCAGCTTTCCAGCAGTCACACAGAGATGAAGATGGATAGCCTGCTATCAAGTAACCTATGTGCTGTATTTAATAAGAATTAAATTCTCTACAAACTATATTAACTGACAAATTCAATAAATGTTAAAGAAAATGACAGCCAGGCCCCTGTGGCTCACACCTATAATCCTAGCTATTCAAGAGGCTGAGATCTGAGGGTTGCGGTTCAAAGCCAGCCCAGGCAGGAAAGTTCATGAGACTCCTATCTCCAATTAACCACCAGAAAACCAGAAGTGGCACTGTGGCTCAAGTGGTAGAACACTTGCCTTGAGCTAAAGAGCTCAGAGTTTAAGCCCTACAACTGACCAAAAAAAAAGAAAAAAGAAATATTATTTCTAGCTAAGCAGTTCAAGAAAGATTCGATGGACATGTAGGATATGATTTGCCATGTCTTAGGTAAGAACAGCAGAGACACAATGGGGAAAAACATATAAATGACCAAGGGTTTGGGTAAACGAGGGGAAAAGGAGTCAGGAGAGGAGAGGAGAGGAGACAAGGACAGAGTCTAGAGTTAAACTGAAGGTGGAATTATCCATTAGGTAAACTCTGATCCAAGTCTCTGAAGCCAGTCTCATGATGAGGTAGGCTTGATTGATCAAACTGGAAGAAAACAGGCTGAATTTACAGTACCCACTTTATTCTGCCTATAACTTTTTTATCTTTGAGATGAAATACACATAGCATAAAATTTGCTACTTTCACGCACATAATTCAGCAGCATTTAGTACATTTACATTATTGGGCAACCACCACCTCCAATTCCAGAGCGCAGTCATTACTGCAAATGGCAACCCCTTGTAAGCAAGCAATGCATCAACTGGCTTCATTTCTACAGATTTATCTATGCCAGGTATTTCACAGAAATGGAATCATACGAAAAGCAACCTTTTGTGTCTGGTTTCCTTCAATGATCATTTCAAGGCTTGCACACAACTTCATTCCCCTTTGTGTCTGCCAGCATCAGGACTTGAGCTTAAGGCCTAGCACTCTTATCACTTGACCCACACCTCAAGTCTGGCTTTTTGAACCAACCCTCCAGGTCTCAGCCTCCGGAGCAGCTAGGATTACAAGTGTGAGCCACCAGCACCTAGCTACTTCATCTCTTTTGTGGCTAGCACTCCACTGTATAGATGTACCCCATTTTGCTTTCCAGTCATACTCCATAGTTCACCATCATCTTGTTTCGAAAGTTTATTCTCTACAACGTAGCTAGAGTGACTCTTTTTGAAAACCTAGATTGTGTCACTCCTCTGCTTAAAACCTGAGCGGATGTTTCTCCACTCCTTCTCTAACCTACCCTCTTCCCTAGTCTATGACAGTACTGTGGTCTTGCAGTTCCTGCAGAAGGCCAAATTCAATCCTGTTTTGGGACCTTAGCATTCACCATTCTATGACTGCAGATAACTGCACAGTGACTGCTCACTTCCCTGGGTCTCTGCTCAAAGTTCTGTCTACCCTAACTGAACCATCACCTTCCAGTGATCCTCACTACGACCTTAGCTCTTATCACACCTGCCACTTCACATTTGTTCAGGTGTTACTGTGTGTCTAGCTCCAATCAATGTAAGCTTCATGTGGGTGAGGGTCTTGTCTTGATTTGTTCATTCCCTTATCTCCAAAACCTAGAACATTGCATGCCATATAATAGGTATTAAGTACATTTGTGAACAAAAATGTATTCTCAGAAGTTTTAAGTATGATGGACAGAATTCCCACAACACAAAATAGAAAATTCAGGAAGAAAAGGCAGTTATTAGAGAGAAAGCTGTTTTCAGTTGGAAGTGGCCTACAATTAAGTAGGAATAAAAGGTACATGATAGGAGCAGAAGCCATGGAGTTGGTGAGACCTCCCCCCACTGCAGCGCATACAGGACACCATTCGCAGAGCGCCATCGTGTGTGCTTACACTCTGCAGTGGCAATCCCTCACTGGAAGAGGAACGTTGCTGTGCATGGGTTAGGATGGACTCCATGTTTCAACCTTCCCTGGGGCATCAGTCCATACCAAAGCTTCCATCTTAGTATGGAATAAAATCTATTCTTACCCAGACAGGAAGAATGGACAGAAGGAACAGGGGAGGATGATTTTTAAAAGCCAGTGGAAACAGCTGCCTTCAGTATGGCCATAGTTTAAAGCTCAGTGCTGCACAGGTTCTGGCGGCTACCTAAAACTGCTTTCTCTACTTTAGACCTGTCTTTTTTTTCCAGGTCCTTATTCCCTCATGTTGTCCCTCCTTCCTCACTTATCTTTCCCTTCTGCTCATTCTTCTGCACCTCTTCAAACATATAGTAATTTGCATTATTATTGCAACGTAAGTATAAATCAATAACCACCCTACAAAAGTGGCTGTACCTTACATTACTGATTTTCTTTTTTTGCCAGTCCTGGGGCTTGAACTCTGGGCCTGGGCACTGTCCTTGAGCTTCTTTTGCTCAAGGCTAGTGCTCTACCACTTGAGCCCAGGGCTTCATATGCATGCTAGGCAAGCACTTTACCACTAAGGCATATTCCCAGCCCACACTACTGATTTTCAAGATCAGATCTTTTTTTTTTTTTTTGGGTCCGGTCGTGGGGCCTGATCTCTGGGCCTGGGCGCTGTCCCTCAGCTCTTCAGCTCAAGGCTAGCACTCTACCACTTGAGCCACAGCGCCACTTCCGGCTTTTTTCTTTTTTCTTATGTGGTGCTAAGGAATCGAACCCAGGACCTCAGGCATGCAAGGCAAGCGCTCTACCACTGAGCCACCTTCCCAGCCCCGAAGATCAGATTTCTTAAAACATTATCAACTTACCCGAAATGTTTTCTGATTGTCTTCGAGGCTTTACAACAAGCTTCACGCCCCCTCCAAAAACAGCAGCCCACATTCGGTTATTTAATGGGTGGGCTGCAAGCCGAAACAACTCATTGGAGGAATTTGTGGCAAGGGCATGGATCAATAAACTTAAGTAAACAGCAACAACTGCTTCACACAACAAAACATTCAATTTTGGCTGGTCTTCATCTTGGGCTGAATTCAAGAGATTAATAAGCGAACTCACACCTGAAAGAATACAGAATACCATAATCATTTATCTATCGATATTCTACAACAAGCAAAATAAATAATGAAAGGAATAGATAATGAAACAAACTAAGAATCCATGGATCTAAAGCAACACAGTGAGTGAACTGTTAAGCAAAAAGGGGAAATGAAAAGTTCTTCCCTAGGATGACAAAATCAGAAAATCACCATCTAGTCACCCCACTGTAGTATCTAACACTTGAACAGAAACCATCACTAGATGCTAAAATTCAGCATTTTATACAATCCCAAACTATCTTTCAAAAGATATCAATACACCTGACATGTAACTGTATCCCCTCTGTATATCATCTTTATATAACAATTTTTTAAGAAAAAAAATACCAATGCATGACTGGGCATCAGTGGTTCACACGTGTAATCCTACGTACAGGAGGCTGAGATCTAAGAATCATGGTTCAAAACTAGCCCCAGGAGGAAAGTGTGAGACTCTTATCGCTATCATTGACAACCAAAAAACAGAAGTGTAGCTGTGGCTCAAGTAGTAGAGCACTAGCCTTGAGCACAAAAGCTCAGGCTATAAGGTCAAATCTTAGAACTGGCATGTATATGTGGATATGTGCACATGCACACACGTGTGCATACACACATAATATCAATACTTAATTGAAAAGGAAAAAAATTCCAGTACCTTTGTAAAGGAAAAAGCAGCCAGAAACTACATTACCAAGTGATCAAAGTCAATGCATAAACAACAGGAACAGTTAACATGATGAGCCTCTTGATCCTTTGTACTGAGAAAGGCACAACTTTTTTTTGTGGACTCCCTGATAAAAATATATAACTTCAGCAGGGCGCCGGTGGCTCACGCCCGCAATCCTAGCTACTCAGGAGGCTGAGATCTGAGGATCATGGTTCAAAGCCAGCCCGGGCAGGAAAGTCTGTGAGACTCTTATCTCCAATAAACCACTAGAAAACTGGAAGTGGCGCTGTGGCTCAAGCAGTAGAGGGCTCGCCATGAGCTGAAGAGCACAGGGACAGCACCCAGGCCCAGAGTTCAAACCCACAACTGACAAAAATAAATCAGAAAAGCCTAAATTGAGTGACCAACTTCAAACATAATTGAATAGTACATACTCTTTTTTTTTTTGGCCAGTCCTGGGACTTGAACTCAGGGCTTGGGCACTGTCCCTGAGCTTCTTTTGCTCAAGGCTAGCACTCCACCACTTGAGCCACAGTGCCACTTACAGCTTTTTCTGTTTATATGGTACTGAGGAATCAAACTGAGGGCTTAATGCATGCTAGGCAAGCACTCCACCAATAAGCCACATTCCCAGCCGTACATACTCTTTAAACATACTAATAGTCATGGAAGATAAAGAGAGGAAAGGCGGGCATGATAGTACACACCCACTGTCCCAGCATTTAGGAGGCTGATGTAGGAAGAATATGACGCCAGTTACATAGTGAACTACGCAGAGCATTCAAAGCTAGCCTAAGCTGAGCTGCCAAGTGAGATGCAAGTACCTGCTCTGTCGAGAGAGACAAAGAGAGAAAGGATACCCTCTCTGCAACCTGGTGCCAAACATTGAAAAATATATACCTACAGATACCCACACATAGCATAATACATGCTATCACTCAGGAAACCTGGGTGAAGGTTATATAAAACTTCTGTACTGTTTTGCAAGGTTTTTTAAGTCTGAAATGATTTTGAACTAATTTCAATTCATTTCCATTTTCAACTAATTTTTAATATGTACGGCCCTGTAGAGAGAGGAGAAAGTTAAGGAACAGAAGTAAAGAATGAGGACGAGAAGGTCGGCTAGCATGGCGCTGTGGCACAGCATGCCACTCGTGCCCTGTATACACATTCACGTTCTGGAAGAGATGTGTCTGGGAAAGGCCGCTGGGGCTTCCATTCAGAATTTCTAAATGACATGCTCATGTTCATGAAGAATATTAAACCCTTTCGTTCTCTTTTTTTTGGGGGGGAGGGGGGAATGGAAAAGGTTAGTGCTGGGGCTCGAACTCAGTGTCTTGTTTGCTCAAGGCTAGTGCTCTACTACTAACCTTGAGCCACAATTCCATTTCTGGCTTTTTGTTGGTTTTTGGAGATAAAGTCTCACAAACTTTCCTGCCTGGATTGTCTGGAAACCATGAGCCTCAGATTCATCTCCTGAGTAGCCTGGATTGCTTTTGTGTTCACTTTTGAGCCACAGCTCTACTTCCAACTTTTTGGTGGTTGACTAAAGATGAGTTTCATGGGCTTTTCTGCTCAGGTTGGCTTCACACCATGATTCTTAGATTTCAGCCTTCCAAAATTTCTGAGATAATAATAACATGAAATTTCTGAGGTAATATTTCAGTATCACTCGTTGAAGCCAGGCCTACACTGGTAATCCTAGCTGCTTGAGAGGCTGAGAATGGGAGGATAAGAGTTTGAGGCCAAACTTGGTAGAAAAAGTTTGAGAGACTGCTTCTCAAACCATAGTTGGGCACAGTGGTACACGCTGTCACCTCAAGCTACATGGTAGATTGGCAGGATTGTAGTACTAGGTCAGCCATAAGCATAGAAAAGTATGCAAGACTTCATCTCCATGGAGAGCATCTTGGACACAGTGGCACACGCTCATATCAGCAACAACAGGAAACATAAAAGTACAAAGATCCAGCTCAAGCACATGCCCAGGTGAAAAACTGCTAGGGGCACAGCTCAGAGGTAATAAGCACAAAACTTCCCTCACTGTCAAAAAGAAAAAGAAAAATGAAAAAAATTGCTATCGATAGCAAAGCCATCATAAAAAACAACCATTTACTAATCCAAAAGAGCAACAAACTGGAAACTAGACAATACTTGCATGCCAGGCAAGCACTCTACCACTGAGCCACCTTCCCAGCCCTAGACAATAACTTTTAAAAGAGACATTTCCCTTTTAAAGAAGTATTTGGGCCAGGTACAAGTGGCTCACATCTGTAATCCAAGCTACTCAGGAGACTGAGATCTGAGGATCACAATTTAAAGCTAGCCTGGGCAGGAAAGTCTGTGAGACTCTTCAATTAACCACCAAAAAAGCTGGAAGTGGAGATGTGACTCAAGTGGTAAAATGCTAGCCTTGAGAAAACCAAAGACCAGGGACAAAGTCCAGGCCTAGAGTTCAAGTCCTATGACCAACAAAAAAAAAAAAGAGGAAGAAAAAAACATTAGGATTCAGTCACAAAAAGCTCTTATTTTCTACTTTTTGCACATATTTTATAACTTCAAAAACACCTAAAATTATTCAGAAGTGTTTTTATCACATATCCCATTAAATGATTCTGGTCCTGACATTTTATGACTTAGATATAATAACTTTCTATAAGAAATGCCAAGATTTTGAATAAATTTTTGTGAGTTGCTGCAATGATTTCCTAATGATAGATGCTAAGAACTTGTTTTACAAAGACTCATCTCCAACTAACCATCAAAAAAGCTGGAAGTGGAGCTCAAAGTGTTAGGAAACAAAAAAAAAAAAAAAAAAACCCACAAAACCTCAGGGATAGAGTGGCCAGGCCTTGAGTTCAATCTCCAAGGAGACTGGCACAAAAAAATATTTGAGAGGTTAAAAAACAACAACAACAACAACAAAAACTCATGAATATCTCACCAGGCCACTGAGCAGGAGATGAATTTGGCGTTGCATGTTCTTCTATGCTTTCTGTCCTGAGTCTTCGACGATCACTTAAAAGAAGTCCTTGATAAGCCATTCCTGTGAACTGATTTCCTTCTGTTTGACTACTAAAAACAAAGAGGTTCAGTAATTTATCATGCTAAGAGAGGTAACTAGCAACTGCACTTAGTACAAATAATCTATTTTAGATGTAGGAAAAATCCTAAAAGTTCTTAATACTGAATTAATTCACTATTCTAGTGAGAATTTTAGAAAGCTCTTGAAATTAGTTATGTTTCTTGATAGTCTCTTAGATGCAGTTTCTTAAATGCTTTTGTGTGTGTGCTGGTATTGGGACTTGAATTCAGGGCCTCTTGCTCTTGGTTTACCTTCTTCACAAAAGGCTCACTCTACCACTTGAGCCACCTCTTCACTTCTGACTTTTTGCTGGTTAGAGGTAAGAATGTCTCAGATTTGTCTGTCTGGGCTGATTATGAATCTCAAACTCAGATCTCAGCCTTATAATAACCTTAGAGGGCTCTTAAATTCTTTTCTAGTAATCACTTAGTACCAGCTCTTCTATTTGCACTTACATATTTTTTTAAAAGTCTGAGGTAAAGAGTCTATTTTTAGTCTAAGATACAGTAGACAGGTTCAGAGTGCTGATTTGTTTTATTTCTTAACTCTGCAAAATTGTGTAAGCTTAATTTTGAATTAAAAATAGGAGCAAAACCTGGAGAATTATATTTTAAGAACATCAAAACCTAAAAACAAATGTCCTTAAATATGTATTTCCATTTTTGTAGAATCAGAGGCGATAAGAAAGCAGAAAGTAAACTGGGCCACAGAGAAACTAAGTCAGCTTAAGGACTAGAAAATACATATTTGAAAACAATGTGTTTGAACTCTCTTATGATCCCATTTAACTAGTGACTAATGTAAAACCAGTTCTATGATCATTTAGGTGACAATGTCAGCTAAATCAGCTTTCTTCCTTATGTACATGTCCAAGGCTTTATTTTATTTGTCCAGTTCTGGGGCCTGACTGAGCCTGGGCACTGTCCGAGCTCTTCAGCTCAAGGCAAGTGCTCTACCACTCGAGCCACAGCACCACTTCTGGCTTTTTCTGCTTATGTGGTGCTGAGGAATCGAACCCAGGGTCTCGTGCATTCAAGGCAAGCACTCTGCCACTGAGCCACCTTCCCAACCCAGCCCTAAATTTTATTTTAATAATTTAAGAATATAATTTTGTGTGCCCGTTCTGGGGCTTGAACTCAGAGCCTTGGCATTGAGATTTCTGGCTCAATGCTAGTACTCTACCCTGCTCCACTTCTGCCTTTTTTGATGGCTAACTGAGAATAAAAGTCTCACAGACTTCCTGCCCAGGCTGGCTCCAAACCATGATCCTCAGATCTCAACCTCTAGAGTAGCTAAGATTACTGAGCCACTGCTCTCTAGGTTACTTTTTCATTTTTTGAAAGGGTTTTGTAAACTGAAAAACCAGTTAAACAGAAACTGAAAAGTCATTTAAGAAAAATTATTTTGGACCATAAAATGTTCTTTTTTGGAAGCCAAAACCATTAGACTAAAGACCATCTGCATTTACTCTGTCATTTTCTGTATTTCTCTGTTGTAACTGGGTTAAAAGCAAACAATTTTTTATTCCTGGTTCTATCTTATCTATTACAGTATACACACCAGTCATATTTGGGGACTTTTTCATGCCTAGGAAACAGCTAAATGCTTTTTCTGTTTGAATACTATTTGGGTAGTTTTCTTTACCTGTAGCTATGACTGTCACATAACGCTTGGTAAATGGACGCAGAGAGTGATGCGGCTAATGAATGAAGTGTGTGCACCTAAAACCAAAACAACCACAATTACATTCTGTACTAACAATCCTACACAACAGTAATCATCTAAAATCAGAAATACTCATGGACTATCATTAATACTGGATCCTGTGTGAGACTACAGAATGCTTTAAAACTTCTACAGTAACCTTCCTCCATCTTTATTTATGTGCCACAAGGAAGCTGGCTGGTCGGAGTGTATTTTTCTCTAACATTCACTCCTCGTGAGCCTGCCCTTTAGCGGCCCAAGCAGAGCTTCAGACTGTTAGGTTCAATAGTATTATGTAGAAAAACATGGGACAAAGTAGAGAATTTTCAGAACTTCCATTTAGGCTTGACTTATGAAATTCCCGTGATGAAAATAGGATTTGATCTTATCAATAAAATATCAATCACTGTATGAAATGGCTGATATCCAGAAAGAACATTTTTGTACTTTCAAAGATTACAATTTTTCCTACTAATACAAAATGCTGAAATGTCACACTAAAGTAAATGTCTGAAATGTGACAATGAAACAGTATTTTTATACTCATTAAAATTTAAAGGGACCTTGGAAATGATTTCATAATCTTTGAATGGCTAGTCCATATTTCTAGGGACTGGAAATATTTATCTGGAACTTGTATATGTTTTACTTTTTTTTCTATATCTTTGCCTAATTAGTCATTTAAGCAAATTCTGCTAAAATAGTAATATGGATGAATTCACACTATGGATTAAAATTCTCTAGTAGTATGACATGGCCAGTAAACCTTAAATCCCTCAAGACTAGATTAGGCATTTCTGTCAAACCAAAATACATCCACTGATTAAAATACTGTGGACCTGCAATGCCCCTGGAACTGGAAAAGGCCCGGTACACACACACACACACACACACACACACACACACACACACACACACACACACACACACACACACACACACACACACACAGACACACACACAGACACACAGACACACAGACACACACACACACACACACACACACACACACACACACACACACACACACACACACACACACACACACACACACACACACACACACACACACACAGAGTTCTGCTGGTGCAGAGACAGCGGGTCAATGCTCCAGTCCCTGCAAGTTCCCTAGTGTTTCTTGGAAGCCATTATTGTTTAAGTTTTCAGCACAGGGTACAGGTTCAATTTGGGGTAGTAACTCTGCCAACACACTCTTTGCCTCAAACTATTGTCCACCTGCAGTGAACACAATCACCCAGGAAATTGTAACAACGATACTTCTTCTGGAAGCATTTCTGACCCAACATGGTTCTTTCTCAGGTACTCCTCTCCTCCTCTTCATCTTCACAATACCTTGGCACGTAAACATCAGTATTTTAATTCAGTGGTTCCCTCAAGGCAGTGGTGACTCTAAGGAATATTTTCCTTCTGCCTACAAAATTTAGTTTGTTCCCAAAAAGCATGTACTTGCCTTAAAGGAAGGCAGTAATTTTCCCAGAAATAAGTCTTATAAATAACTTTGAACTGATAAGTATAAAGGGAAATACAATCATATTCTAAAACATTTTCTACAAGTTCAAGCTACAGGATATACAAGTATAACATATTTACTTCTCGCATGTGCACATCTCAAATGCTCATGAACTTTACATTACCTTCACGTCTTCAACAGTGGGATGAGGTGGTGTTTTCATCTGAACAATAGTATAAAGAATATCATGAATGTGGTTATTTAAGTATAAGACAGGATTAGCGATGACTGTTTTTGTCGAAGCAATACTTGCTGAAAGCAGAGGGAGAGTAGTAGGCAATGGCAGTGGAGACTGGAGCTGTTTTACTGTAGTTTCCTGCAGGTGATAGTGGATTATTTCTTTCAAAATAGTTAACATGAAGGAGAAACAAATGTTATTTGGTTAAACACTAAATGAATACTTGAGTAAAAGCAATATGTTCATTTACTTTTTCAAGCACCCAGTAATGGAGCAGGTTCTTTGCTGGATATAAAAGGTATAAAAGTGAGATCTGTATTCTCCAATTTTAAGTGAACTTCTACCTAATATCTGCCTCAAAGGAACAGAGGAACTGACTCAACTGAGTCAGCTAAGTCCTAACTGGAAGAGCTACAGCGATTACTGAGCTAACCTCTACTAAAAAGGAACATGATGTTCTCACCTGTTGTGATTCTTGTAACAAAAATTTCAGTTCCATTCTTACTGAGGCCAGCCCACCACCTTGGGCCCCATGAAGGCTACAATAACTAAGAAACACTCTTAAAAGGTCCTGGTTCTTCTGCAACCACAGCTTTCGCCTTTCTGCATGTTCTCGTTTAGCTTGTAATCTTCGTCTTTCTATTTGGTGGCGCTCATAGGAGCCAATGTCTGGTTTGTCCATCATTTCTTCCTGATCCAAAAGATCACTCTCTAATTTAGAATACATTTCACTGGAATATTCTTTAATAACTGCCTCATGATTACATATGTCATGCAGGGCAGCAATTTCCTTTTCAAGCCAGTTGTAAAGTTGAAATCTGAGCTTTCCTCCATCCACTTCATAACCTGTAGCCAAAGTTCTCAGTTCAGTCATTAGGATCTTTAAGCAAGCCCTGAATTTTAACTGTTCAGCAATCACATCAACCTCAGTATCATGTTCAGGATAATCCTCTTCCTGAGGGGTCAATAACATGTTAGGATCTGAGGCCTTCTGATCTTGTCCATCTTTTCCCCTGGTATCTGAGCTTTTCATGACTAAACCAACAGCATCTTCATCCTCTTCTGAGACATCATTGTGATCTTCACCCCAATCAAGATTAAGAGGTTCCTCATCAACTTTAACAATTGGCTGGCTCCAGTCGAACTGTGAAGAAGTTAGAGCTGACCAATCAGTGCCAGAATTTCCTGTGCCATCTCTCAGAGCTACTGATCCTGAAGGCCCATCATCTATCTTTTTAGAAAAGACATCAGGCTGATCCTTTTTTTCAGGTAAGGAAGATATTTTGGTTACTTTGGGAATTTTGGAAAGTACTTCTAGGGCTAAAACAGGGCATCCAACTTTAAAATGAGCATTTGCAGTGGTAAAGAATAATTTTCTTTCTATGAGGTTAATCTTATCAGCAATGTTTTTCTCAGTTTTGAGACCTAAGGTTGCCAAAGTTCCTTCAGGAGAAGCAAGATTTCTTCGAAGAAGTAAAGGATGTGTTCGAAGATAGTTGTAAAAACTGAACACCACGGGGTTACAAGATTTGATGATAACTATAAGAATCAAATAAAATCACAAGTTACTGTGTTAATTTGTATTTATATTTCAAAAGAAAGATGTTAATATTTCCTTAAGATAAAGATAAATATTAACTTGGAAGAGGCTAAACTATGGTACATTCATATAATTATAAAAAACATACAGGTGAAACAAAAATCAGTTCCCTATTTGCTAGAGTGATGTCTAGGATACATGAAACAAAAGAAGGGACAGAAAGTGCATATAGTAACTGCCTTTTTGCTAAGAAAGTGGAGAGAGGATATAAACACATGCTTATTTGCATGTGCGTGTGTGTGCGTGCATATGTGTGTGTGCACGCCCTAGGATTGAACCCAGAGTCTTATGCATGCTTTGGCAAGCAAGTGCTCTAACATAGAGATGTATAAAGATGTATTCCCAATCCTTGTTTCTCTTTGAGACAGGTTGGCCTGGAATTCCTAATCCTCCTGCCTCCATCTCCTTAGTACTGGGATTACAGACAGGTACTTTCAGGCTCAGCTTACTTAGATTTTGTTTTTTTTTAACATAAAAGAAAATACAAGTGGGGTGCTAGTGGCTCACGCTTGTAAGCCTAGCCACTCTGGAGGCTGAGATCTGAAGATCTTAGTTTGAAACCTGCCCAGGCAGAAAAGGCATGGCACTCTTATCTCCAAAAAAAGAAAAGAAAAAAAAAAACTCAGAAAAAGCCAGAAGTGGTGCTGTGGCTCAAGTGGTAGAGTTAAGACTTGTACAAAAGCGGCTTCAGGGACAGCACCACAGCCCTGAGTCCAACTCCCAGGACAAGCACACACACACAATTGTAACTTGAGGGAAGGCAAACAAGGGAAAAAGCTAGAGTTCTTTGAAAAAACCCTGGTTTTATGGAATTTATTTCAAAATCATATCAACATTTGATGTAATTTTTTTAAAAAATTCGATTTTTCTAAGTGCAAACTTAAGTGAATATTTATATCAACTTGACAGTCTAACCACAAAGAGCTAATTTCATTGAAAAATGACTTTAAAACAAGAAACTTAGGAGCTGGGAAGGTGGCTCAGTGGTAGAGTGCTTGCCTAGCATGCATGAGGCCGGCCCTAGGTTCAACTCCTCAGCACCACATAAGCAGAAAAGGCCAGAAGTGGCACTGCGGCTCAAGTGGTAGAGTGCTAGCCTTGAGCTAAAGAGCTAAGGGATGTGGAGTTCAAGCCCCACAACTGACACACACACACACACACACACACACACACACACACACACACACACGAAATTTACTGTCTAACTTTAGTGGAATGTATCATAAACATAAAAATATATGCCAAAAAAGAGCTTAGTCATAATGTTGCAAGTGATCATATATTTGTATTCTTATCCTGAAATTATACCCATGCATATAAGATAGTAGACAACAATGTTAATTCCATAAGAAACCACATCTTCCATTCTAAGACACAAACTTGAAACTCATACCTAAAAATCTACATTTGAATTAAAAATTACAGTGTGATGCCTTGAATTCTCAGGCTAACTTCATTCACTGACACAGCCTAGGAATAATAACCACAACAGGAGTACTGTGTATTCCTGGACCCAGACAACAATCTCTAAACTTTATTTTCCATTAAAAGGAGCAATTCTTTTTGGGTCCAGGGCTGGAAATATATTACCGTACCAGAAATCAAGAGACCTATTAGCCAAAGGGGTCAGAAACTTGAAGAAGTTCCCAATGGTCATCAAATTATGTTAAAACACTACATTTTATTACAAATGCCTATGTGCCTAATCTTAGCCACACAAGACAAATTTTTTTTTTTCCAGGGCCGAGGACCGAACCCAGGGCCTTGCATGTGCCGGGCAGGCGCCCTTCCGCTGAGCTAAACCCCCAGCCCCAACAATTTTATTTTTTATTTCTCAAAGCTGAAAAGCAAATTTGGTAACAATTTTATTAATCTGAATAAAAATGAAGGCCAGAAACTATCTTCTTTTTTTTTTCAGGCTAATAATTTGATGCCCTTTTAATATGATTGTAGCTTTTAACTATTTTTCTTATCAAAGCAGTATATGTACATAGTTTAAAAGGTCAATTAATGCCAAAAGACTTAGAACGAAAACCAACAATGTTTTCATGCCTCTCTGCCCAACCCTTACCATGCTATTATTATTCAGAGACAATTACTTCCAGCTTCTTAAGCTATTTCTATTAGCTTTCACATTTCTGGGCCTGTGAGTCTCTCTCCATTTGTCAAGTTAAATGTTATCAAATGAGTTGCTCTTATTGTGGTTGAAGTGATCAGCATTCTTACTATTGCCATTCTTCCAACAGAAACTATCTTCTTTTAAAGAACACAAAGAAAGCCAGGCGTTGGTGGCTCATGCCTATAATCCTAGCTACTCAGGAAGCTGAGATTTGAGGATCACGGTTCAAAGCCAGCCCAGGCAGGAAAGTCTGTGAGACTCTTACTTCCAAAAAACCACCAGAGGGGATGGGAAGGTGGATCAGTGGTAGAGCACTTGCCTTGCATGCCTGAAGCCCTGGGTTCGATTCCTCAGCACCACATAAGGAAAAAGCCAGAAGTGGCGCTGTGGCTCAAGTGGTAGAGCGCTAGCCTTGAGCTGAAGAGCTGAGGGACAGCGCCCAGGCCCAGAGTTCAGGCCCCACGGACTGGACCCCCCCAAAAAAAAACAACCACCAGAAACCAGAAGTGGCACTGTGGCTCAACTGGTAGAGTGCTACCCTTAAGAACAGCTGAGGGACAGCACCCAGGCCCAGAGTTCAAGCCCTACAACGGACCAAAAAAAAAAAAAAAAAAAAACAAAAGGGAAACTCATAAAATGGCTTACCTTGATGTTCAGAATCCTCCTTTGGCGTTTGTTCCAATAATGTGTCCAAGGCCCGAGTGTAATCTTTCATTACCCAGTAAGCAAGACTACGCAGAAAAGGGTCAGGATGTAATTGTTTGCAATTGAATCCTGAGCCATCCTTAGAGCAACCCAAAATCTTCTGGTTCAAGATAGATATGTAAGTGGATGAAGTTTCAAATTCTGATTCATATAAACGGGCAATAACCATGGCTAGCTGAATGTCTTCCATCTTTTCAAGACATACCTGAAAATTTTAAATAGTAGGAAGTACTTACTTTATTGAATGGTATAGAAAATCCCACTGGTAACCTGAAACTATGTTTAGAAGTGGATGGAGGGATTCCAGAGGTTGCAACAGTAAAAGGCAGTTAAGAATGTGGTAGAGAAGATTAAAGAACAATAAAAGGAAAACACTAGAACTTAGCAGCTTCTAGCCTAGAAAGATCACTTATAAAATAGGCATAAAACAAAGTATGTTAATATTTCAAACTTATGTCAGTTTAATAATATTCATTGCAAAAGTAACTACTTATGACATTTTAATTCTCAGTTCCTCTTAATTCCCAAATATATTTTCATATAAACATAATCATACTTTATGACTGCAAAAGGACTTCCATTTACCTAGCAAATAAGTATTAAATAGCTCTTTGGAAGCCCATATTTAATTTTAACTATGGAATCTGAGAACCTGAGACCAGTCACACAATATAAGCATTTGCAGTCAATCAACATTTCTCTTCTTTGCTTATCTTCAAAGCTAAATTTCCCATTTCAAAATGTTAAAATTTGTAATTTTTAAAACTATAAATGTGCCTGAGATAACTGTGCAACTATTAATTTTAAATTTACCGAATTTTCATTGTTAGGTATTTCCTATTCTATCATTATTTTTAATCTCATTTTTCCCTCACTGTTGGGTTTTAATGCTAGTAAGTAACCTAACAGGGAGATACCATAAATACAAACATTCATTACTCTCATGATCACCTGCCAGGATTACAAAATGCAAAAGCTTTACCTCCTCGTATTCATTTTCTAGTACCTAAGTCAAATATAGTAAAAGACAACATAAATCATTCTTTCAGTGTCTTGTCTATAAATTTCATTTGGAAGAGAGAGAACTTAAAATATCTGTTGTTCTTCATAGAATAGGGTTGGTATGACCTATTCTTTTCAAATGGCTCAGAATTACAAGATGGCCAATAAAACCATTTCATAAAGTATCTTCACCATTTTTCATAGATTTATACATTATTTTAGCATGCATTGTGTCACATATAAAATTACACATCTCTCCTTAGTATACTTATAATTTCATCAATCATGGAGACACTATTTGAGGTGTGGCAACTCCTAAAGCTATTATCTGTTCTTGCAAACATGACAAAAATTGCAATGTCTCTTGCAGGTATATATAATAGCATGTCTTCTTATTGATTTATACCTCAATGGCATCTTTCAATGAGCCGGCCAATAAGAAAAAAGCAGCAGATTGTTCAAAGCGTTGTTTTCCAAGCAAAGAAAAAGCATTCTTCAAAGCAGCTTTACGCCACCTGTCTTCATTAAAGTTGTGGCTGAAAAACGTTGTCATTTTTTCATCATGTTGTGACCTAGGAACCAGAGTGATTTACAATTAAAATATTTTAATTCTCTACAGAATGTATATGGAGACAGAAAAAATTCAAACCAAGTCAAATCTGAACACTGATATGTAAAATTGTCTGCAGCATTTCACTAGGATCACCAGGTTATTTTTTTTTTTGGGGGGGGGTCCGGTCATGGGGTCTGAATTCAGGGCCTGGGCACTGTCCCTCAGTTCTTCAGTTCAAGGCTAGTGCTCTACCACTTGAGCCACAGCACCACTTTCAGCTATTTTTTTTCTGCTTATGTGGTGCTGAGGAATAGAACCCAGGGCCTCATGCATGCAAGGCAAGTGCTCTACCACTGAGCCACCTTCCCAGCCCCTAGAGCAGGCTTAGAAAATAAAGTTCTCAGGGATTTAAATATAAAGCCTTGAATGATATCCAAAATCTCTTCTTTTCTCAGACTTGGCTTACCTAAATGAATCTACTTATTTCAATCTACAGTGAATGTCACTTTTTCAGGCTAAATTTTTCTAATTCTTGCCTCCATTGGTGAGGGAGCTCCTGTTATATGTGTCATAGTTTCCAAAGTTTAATCATGGCGATGTGAGCAGATTCATTATAGAATTGTTTGCTGAGATACTTCTTATACATTCAAGACAGTAGGAGAGAGTCTGTTTTGTTGCTAGTAAACTCTTACTGCTCAGCAATGTGTTTGTAACGTATTTGGCATTTGTTCACACAAATAAATAATTTTTGTTATGAGAAGTTAAAAAAAAAAGTAGTTCACAGTAGTAACTTCAGTTTGTGAAGAAAAAGCAGTCTTTTCTGTCAAACCAAAGTACCTCCGTCTTGTATGTTTGTATTTCCTGGAATTATACGTTTGTTTTTATTTCAATTGCAACTATTTGTACTGTTTGTGACCAGTCAGCCATGTTAGGAACATAAATCTGTGTCAAAGGAGTTAAACTATAACTTCCAGGTGTGCTGCTTGTGACCAGCTAGCCTTGCTAGGAAGGTAAATCTTTATCAATGGAGTTAAAGGGAATAAAATCCTCTTTCTAGTGGGAGCTTTCCACTGACCTCACCAACCTCCTCCAACTGTATCTGTCAGCCACCCAGTTCCCAGCCCACCATGATAAGGGGGGGAAAAAGTCAACCTTTGATAAGAATTAAAGAATAGCCTCCTCTCTAATGTTCATAATCAATTGTACTTAGAATGAGAGTCTAAGTCCTTGACAAAGAGGGACAGTTTGGATTGAGATAAAAACCTAGCAGACTGCCCTGCCCAGTGTGCCTACATAGCTCTGGGTAGAGTATATGGTAGGGTACTGAACCTTTTTGTGCTCTGACGAGTCTCCTATATATATTGTGTGTCTATTTGTCTCTGACACTGGAGAGTCGCTATCTGTTTCTAAGAAGTTATAGGGATAATTTTCAAGCATCTTTTCTATTACACAAATAAAAACCATAAATATCTCCTACTGCTTTTTTTTTCCTTGGCAGTTTTGGGGCTTGAGCTCCAGGCCTCAGGCTTGCTAGGCAAGCTACAGACCCAGTCCTTTTTGCTCTTTTTTATTGATTTTTTTAATGTAAAATTTATTATCTTTAAATAGTTTCAATTGAATCTCACTATGTGGGTATAATGCATTTAATCAGTGTCCTCTTCTATCATTCTCCCTCCCATCTTCTCTCAACCCTACCTTATCCCCCCCCCAAGTTATCGAGTTCCATTTTCATAGATGTACAATGAATATTACGACCGATTTTACCATCATTCCTCTCTCCATTTGTCTGCCCATCTCCTTTCCCCTTTTCAGAAAAGATTCTGGCCAGCCTGGCCTCCAACCTTTGCTGTTTCCTAAATATCTAGGATTACAAATATGAACCATTCTATTTGGCTTCCAAAATGTTTTTTGTTTTGTTTTTAGTGGTACTGGAGGCTGAACTCAGGGATTCATGCTTGCTAGGCAGACGCACTACTTACTACTAGAGCCATGCCCCTAGCCCTTTCACTTTGGTTATTTTTGAGACAGACTCTTTGCCTAAGCCAGCCTGATCCTCCTAATTATGCTTCCTGCTATAGTAGGGATAAAGGTATGCACCACTTCACCCATACTTTTTCTGTCCCTCATTTCTTCAGCTCAAGGCTGGTGCTCTACCACTTGAGCCACAGCGCCACTTCTGGCCTTTTCTGTTTATGTGGTGCTGAGGAATCAAACTCAGGACCTCATGCATGCAAGGCAAACGCTCTACCACTGAGCCACCTTCCCAGCCCCTACCCATACTTTTTCTGTTGAGATGGAATCTTGATCATTTTTTTTTGCCCAGACTGATCTGGAACCGCGAGCCTCCGTTACAGCTGGGATGACAAGTACACACCCTGCCCTGCACCCAGCTTTTTACTGACTTGCAAAAAAATTTTTTTTGCCAAGGCTGGCTTTGAACTTCAATCCTCCTGATTTCCATCTCTAGAGGAACTAGGATCGCAACATGAATAATCAACACCTGTCTTCAAATGTGTTTTTATCAAGCTTAAAAAAAAAAAAAAAAGCTGGGTGCCAATGGCTTACGCCAGTAATCCTAGCTACTCAGGAGGCTGGAGCTGAGATCTGAGAATCATGGTTCAAAGCAAGCCCAGGCAGGAAAGTCTGAGAGAAGATTCTTTTTTTTTTTTGGGTCCAGTCGTGGGGCCTGAACTCTGGGCCTGGGCGCTGTCCCTCAGCTCTTCAGCTCAAGACGAGCGCTCTACCACTTGAGCCACAGCGCCACCTCCGGCTTTTTTCTTTTTGCTTATGTGGTGCTGAGGAATCGAACCCAGGGCCGTGAGCATGCAAGGCAAGCACTCTACCACTGAGCCACCTTCCCAGCCCCTGAGAGAAGATTCTTATCCAGAATCTTAATCACCAGAAAACTGAAAGTGGTGCTATGGCTCAAAGAGGGAGAGCGCTAGCCTTGAGTGAAAGCCCAGGGACAGCACCCAGACCCTGAGTTCCAGTCCCATGACAAAAAAAAAAATCCTACCCTATAAGTTAATTTGTAAATATATATTCTGCTCATTTTTACAGATAAAGGAACCAAGGCATAAAGAGGTAAACTGAGTTGTTCAAACTCAAATACCTAATCATTTTCACAATTAGGTTTCTGATGTGACACACAATCCTCATCTATTAATCACACTGAGTGTTAAGGTAACTTACCTAAACAGACCCCACACCACTGCTTTCTTCTTCATGGAAAGGTAGAATAATGCAGCATCTAAGGCATCATTGTTCCTCTGAAAAGAAGCTTTGGCAACCTAGTAGTAAATAAAACAGTATTCTAACTATTTGACAAAATAATTACAATCATCAACAATTAATGCTTTCTAACTATGTCCATGACTGGCTGAAACTACGGGAATGGGAAATTTTCCATGTGGTGTAACACTGTTTTTTTTGCTATACAAACTAAATTTATAATATAGCTATACAATTACAATATATTTTGTTTAGAGTTATGTGTTATTTAAAGAAAATACAGCTGGGTGTCAATGACTCACATCTGCAATTCTAGCTACTCAGGAGGTTGAGATCTGAAGACAGTGGTCAAAACCAGCCTGGGCAGAAAAGTCCAAGAGATTGTATCTTCAATTAACCAAGAAAAGCCAGGCTGGTGACATGGCTCAAATGGAAGAGCTGTGAGCAGAAAAAGGTGAGCAAGAACTTGAGGCCCTGAGTTCAATTAAAATACAATTTTCTGATACATTTCAATCAAACTTTGGTAATGCTAAAGGACTGACTTGTTCTTTTGGCATGTAATTAAAATACAGATGGTTCAAGATTCTTTATTTTGAAGAAGTTATAAATTTATTTTATTTTGCTTTATTTTAATGGTGCTGAGGATTGAATCAGGGCCTCATACATGCTGAGTATGTACTCTGACACTGAGCTACAACCCAACCACCCATGGTTTTAAAAGTTTTAATGAGTATGTAATTTTCCATGTATTGTTCCTCTGAATACAGTAGCACCCTTTCAGCTACAGAACTAAAATTGTTAAAGTTGTACAGAATCAATAAATTCTGTAAGTTCAAAAATTACTAAGCCTCCTATTGTATGCAATCGTATTTTGAATACTATTACATAAAGACCAAAGATACTGAAGTGTATAGCAAAACAAAAAATCATATTATTCCACATGGAAATTTTATAAAAAGTCAAGTTTTTTGAATCCCCCCAAATTTTCATTTAAAAAGTTTCCAATGTGTTAATATATACAAACTATTTCTTCCTAATAGATTTTTCTGGAAGATAGTATCTTTTTTCTTTTAAAGCTGTTACCTTCTCCATACATCTTCGAAGGGTGTTAATATTCCTCACCCACCAACCTATTCCCATAGCTCTTAACTCAGACCACTGAGGGTCTCCGCGCTGAATTGCTGGAATCATATTAATCAGTTCTTCCTCAGCTTCAGAATGAAAAGCCCAAGCAAAATGGCAGGTGGACACACCTAAATGAGAAACATGAATTAATAACTTTTGGAACTGTAGTGATCTTTTGCATAGTTACATATTTATTTATTCTGAAAAGAATTTTCAAGTAGAAAGGATAAAATGAAGTCTGTTATCATTAGTCTTTTTGTACTATAGGGATACAAAGGAAAATGTGAATGGGCGCTGTGTGACAGGAAGGTATAGTGGTATGTCTATGAACATCCTCCCCTCCCCCCCAAACATATGCTTCAATACTAAATAAAAGATTCAAATAATGAGGGGACTAGAATACCTTGATGAAGTAGCTGTACCCGGTATAAAGGAGGCAGGGATGTTAAAAGGCATGTGTGCAAGCGCATAGCTAACAAGTATCTCAAACCACATTCGTCTAAGGTGTCTCTTCCTGTAATTTCAAGCAGAAATATGTTTAATGAAAAAGGAATTCAACAGGCTCCAAACTGATTTAAATGTTATAAAATAAACACTAAACTCTTTGGGTACACTTTAATATCTTTACAAAAACCATGTGAATGTTAAACTCCGAAGGAGAAAATGTTTTTGAAAAATTACTGCTTAGTACAGATAACAATAGCATTTATTTGGTAACATAGGTAATTCACTGTAGTAAATCAGGTATAATTGTTAAAAATATTTCCTAGATGAACTGAGATTAACACTTAAAGACAGAAATTACATAACTAAATTTGTTACAAAAATTAAGCACATAGCATCATCTAGCTGTTTTGTTTTACTGAAATAAAGTACTATCAGTTGAAATTTGACTCTCCAAGCTAGTTTTACAGGTTAAACTGAACCTCAACCTTAATTCTATAAATTTGTTTATACAAATTTGATTCTACTTAGCCAAAAGTTGAAAGTATGGAAAACTTATTCAAAGCTATAACCACTTTTGAGTAACAGCATTGCAAAAGTACTGATAGCATCCAACTGAATAACTGACAAATGAAACACTTAAAGAGCAGAATATTTTCCACAGACAAAAAAAAACACCTCAAAAAACAAAAGAAAAATTTCAATTGCCACACTTAAGTTCCACCTTACTTCCAATTACCTATATTCATTCATCCATTCACCCAACAAATTTACATCTCCTACATGTAAGTAGTACAATCTACTACAGTTTTTGTTTGTTTTGTCATGGAGCTTCAACTCTGGGCCTGGGCGCTGTCCCTCAGCTCTTCAGCTCAAGGTTAGCACTCTACCACTTGAGCCACAGCATCACTTCCCCTTTTCGGGTAGTTAATTGGAGATAAGAGTCTCATGGACTTTTCTGCCCGAGCTGGCTTTGAACTGCAATCCTCAGATCTTAGCCTTCTGAGTAGCTAGGATTACAGACGCAGCACCTGGCTTTCTACTACAGTTTAAGAACTGGGAATTAGACAGTGAAAAAGGCAGAGTTAACACTCTTAAGAAGTTTATGTTTTAGGACAAAGTAAGAAACAATAGACAAATATATGAAAGTGATTCTACGGAGGGAAACAGCAGGCAGTACAGAATGAGTGCTGAAGTAAGAGTGATCTACTGTATATAGGGTGGCCAGGAAATAACTTCACAGAACAGTGCAATTTCAGCAGGAAATGAGCCACAAATAAATCTAAAGAACACTGCATGCAAAGGAAATAGTAAGTACAAAGACCCAGAAAAAAGATAGCAAGGCGGTCAATGCAGGGAGTGGAACAGGGCATAGACCATCTAGGTCCTTAAGACCATTGTAAAGACACCAGCTTTTATTTGAAAGTGACATGGGAAGCCAGTGGTATATTCTGAACAGAGGAGAATTTAGTATGACCTGAGTTCCCATGAACAAACAAGGCAGTTATGGGGACTGAGTCGGTAATTAGGCAGGAGGCACCAAGCACTTGAGCCAGGGTAGGAACTACAGGGGTCATGGGAAAATAATTCTAGACAAGACAGAATTTGCCAGTGGAGTGAATATGAAATATGAGACAATGCAGAGTCAAGAATGCCTATACATTGTCTCACCTGAACAAACAGAAGAACTGATTTACTTAAAATCATTTAATTTTAATAGATGTGCAACTCTTAATGTCTGAGCTTGCTTCTATCTGTTAAAGGGAAACATTCATTCCTGCCTTATCTACTTCATGACTGTCCACTGAATAAGCTATTTTCATACTGTCAGCCAATGACAGTTTATATCATAACACTTACACTATTTTTCATGGATTACAGCATGCCCACTTTCTTAACATTTCAGGGTACAAACTCTGAATATATATTAAGTATACAAAAGAAGGATTAAGGTTATTCTGGGGAAATTTTTGCTTTAATGCATACAGCCACAAAATTGTGAAGGCTTTGGTTTTCTTTCTTTTTCCCCCTCTATCTTAACTAACATACTTAGAAAACAGGTCACAGGTCTCTTGTTATTTTGGTCTATAGACAGGAAATATCAAGGATATATTGCAAAGCTGTAAACCTATAAAAGAGAGATTTTCAAACTGGCTTTGAGGAACATTTTTTCCTCCAAATTTGGAAATCTTTTAAACATTTAAAAAGAGGACAGGTCTAAGAGCAACAATTTTTCCACATATGAACACTTAATGCCATGTACTCTTAGATGAGCCACTTAATTTCCTAAGGACCAGTGTCTTCATCTATAAAATTAAATATAATAATAGCTACCTACCTACTAGAAGATTGTTATAATTAAATGGGATAAAGTACATAAAGTGCCTGGCACACAGTAATTCTTCACTCTTCCACAATATTTATTGAATGAATGAATGAAAGATCAATTATTTTTTGGTTTCCTTTGCTAATGCCATTGCTTATAATCAACACCATTACCTTCAACTTTCTGCATAGGAGAGAATGAAATCCAGTTTCAGAAGACAGCCAAAATCTTTTTAGTTATAGAATGTATTAGGCAAGATACACACATTAAATGCTGAATGTCTTTCTTGAGAGAACTTTTGTAAAAAAAAAAATTGTGTAATACTAAAAAAGCTATTTATATCTAGAAATGAGAAGTTCGTAATTTGAGCCCATGAAGTCTCTATGTCTTGTGATAACACATGAGCCATTATTACCATTCAAAGAAGACTACCACAAGAATTAATCTATTTGGGAAAAAAATCATACAAAGATTTCATTGTAACAACCCCTATGAACATGCACACAGACTACCATAAATCCGAGGCATCATGTGTACAAGTGATAGCTTGTTTCAACTGTCTTTCCTTTTACAACTAATATATTACAAAATAATGACTGTATATGAGAAAGGGTTTTTCCTTGCAAGATTTGAAAGAAAAAACACAATTGAACATGTGAGTTATTATACAGATAATACAACATTTCTAGTGGTAACTTTATGCATTTTTAGTGAAACTATTTACCTGAGTAATTCTTATCTCTGTTTTCATCAAGCTCAGTACTGGTGGTAGCCACTGTATCCGCCAGTGCAACAAGGAACATCTGCTCCAAGCGGGTAAGGCCTGGTAAACTTGAGTGCATAAGGTGACTTGAAAGTACCCTAGCATGTTCCTGGCCAAAGTAAGCTGGCCCATACTGAGAAAGATTTATTACTTTTGACTTATTTTCTCTCTTTTCTGGCTCTAAATCAATATCATCCGTTGTTATATCTTGGATTTGAAACAGCTCTGAATACTGATCCTCTGGCTGATTTTCAGTATGATCTTCATAGCTTGGAGGCATCTTTGTACTCTCTTCTGAAATTCTGTAGGATGTATCCTGATCTGCAGCAAGTAATGCATATAGTGGCAGCGGAGGAATAGAATCTATCTCGGTGTAATCTCGAGTACCATCTTTTCCTATGGTGACCGTATCTTTTGCTGTACTGCCACTTACACTAATGGTTCGAGAAAGATGTCGCTTAGTTCCTTCTCCAGCATCGGCGTCTCTAACTATTGCAACTTCACCTGCAATGCATTTTACTAAATGAGAGAGGATGGCTTTAGCCCTCCGCACTTTCCCTAAATCCATCAATTCCAACAACTGAGTTGGATGATACTGTGGCAGAGTAGGAGAAAGTACATGGGCAGCCTCAAACAAGCCACCATCTTGAACTACAGTTGGTGAGCAAAACACGTCGTCAGCAGTAGCTGTTCCTTCAGCAATGCTTTTTCTTGCCAACATGCTAGACTTAAAGGCTGAATGTTCTTGTAATGTCTCTTCTGCACTGGGACTATCAGCTTCTGTGTCCCCAAATTTCATAGCATGCTTCCACTGGGCATACACATGCATTTCACAATCCATTCCCACCACCAAGATCCCATCTCTTACCCAAGAGAGAGAAACAGGTAGTGAAGGTGTACCATCGACAGAGGAGACCAAGTCTATAGATCTAAGAAGAACCCATCTTGACCTAACCCCCTGCTTAATACTACCACCTAGTGGCAACGTAATGACAGCTACGCCATCCTTACTGTTGGTCTGCTCAGTTACAATTCCTGAAAGCCTCCCATACATGAAGATATTAGCACCAACCCCCACTGTGAGAATGTGGGAGCCATCTTCTTTTGACACCCAGTCTAAATGTACTAAATGCTTGATATTTGGAATAAGATACCTATCCTTGCTTAAAAGTGCATCTGATTTGCTATATACAAACAGATTACTGTCAACGCTAACCCGTGAGTCAAGAACACTCCCAACCTTAACCAAATCATCAAGATGAATAGTTTGTTCTAAAACCCATTCTGACCCTCCAGTGGATTCACACTCGAATATACAAACATGCATGGAAAATTCTTTAGAAACAAAACCATTGTGGTGCATAGGCTGCTTATAAGCCACTGCGAGGCGACCTGTGTATGAACAGCTCACAGCAACTGGTCTTCCTACAATGCTCACTGTACTGCTGTTATCTTCTCCTTCATCGTTCATAAGGGGCCATCTCCTCCAATGATAGGTTTCTTTCTCATCACTTGAATTGCACTGTGGGTTGGTCTCCATACAACATTTCCAGAAGCGCACTTTATTGTCAGAACAAGTTGTGACCACTAAATAAGGCGCAAGGCACACAGGATAGATTGAAGAAGAACTCAAATGGCCTTGAGAAAGAAAGAGCAGATTGTTATAATTAGAACCACACAGTTAACATGCTAATCACAAAATTATGTAATGTGACCACTTAAAGCCATTGTGAGCTTCTTCAGAATAACTCTGCAGTCTCCTCCTTTAAAAACTATCCTTTATGGTGGGTGCAGTGGCTCATGCCTGTAACCCTGAGGTTACAACAATCTGAGGATTGCTGGGAGAAAAGTCCCTGAGACTCTTAGCTCCAATAAACTACTCAAAAAAGCATGAAGTTGCAAAAGTAGTGCTGTGGCTCATATGGTAGAGCACAAGCCTTGAGCCCAAAGAGGTTCGGGGACAACACACAGGCCTGAGTTCAAACCCCAGGACCAGCAAAAACAAACAAACAAAAAACCTATCCTTTATTAAATATCCATTGGCTAAAGAATCTATGGAAATCTTGAAAGGCCTACTGGCAAAATCAAAAGATGCAACGATAATAAACATTTAACTTATTTTTAGGATAATTAAGTTTAAAAGGTATAAAAATTGAAAATCAGGGGCTAGGAAGGTGGCTCAGTGGTAGAGTGCTTGCCTTATGTGCATGAGGCCCTGGGTTCAATTCCTCACTACCACATAAGCAGAAAAAGCTGGAAATGGTGCTGTGGCTCAAGTAGTAGAGCACTAGCTTTGAGCTGAAGAGCTGAGGGACAGCGCCCAGGCCCAGAGCTCAGGCCCCATGACCGACCAAAAAAAAAAAAAAATTGAAAAACATCTCATAAGTGAAGAAACTATAATCCTTATTAATAAAGTGTTAGTTGCCTTAGTTTATACATGCCTACACCACCACAAACTTCACTGGGCTTTCATTCTACATATCTGATTACTTTGATTATAGATGCTTCAAAAGTCATTACAATTTGCCCCTCAAAGTCAGTCTTCAAATAAGCCAGACCCCAATTTACTTCTACTATTTTTTTCTAGGCAGCTAACCAAATTAATAGATCTCACTCTTTTTACAATGAGACTAAAATTCAGCCTTTTATTTTAGATTTTCTCCAGAATATTTGTGAACCCTGGTTCAAATATACTTAATAAAGATGATACATAATTAGCAGAGTATAGATGAAAGTCTTGGAAATAATTTTTAGAATATTTTTAGAGCTTCAGTTAGACTGGAGGCATGAGTCAGTCAAGTGGTCGTGAGCCAAATAAGAACATGAGGCCAAATTCAAGCCCAAGTACCAACACAAAAAAAAGGTTCACACTAGCCTTGAGCAAAAGAGCTCAGGGACAATACCTAGGCCCTGAGTTCAAGCCCCATGACAAATTTTTTTAAAAATAAAAATAAATGAAAATCTTTAGAAAAGGATTCATATTCATATATTCATATTCACATTCATATATCAACATATTTTCCAGAATTTACCATCATAATATTCCAAAGTGTACTTCTCAATAAATATTTACACCATTTTCTATCCAGCTGATTATATTCATCACCATCTATTTTGTTTAGCAACAAAGACATGTTGCTAAACAAACAGATCATTTCTAGAATATAAATCTTTTTTTTTTTTGGTTGTCGTGGGGCTTGAACTCTGGGCCTAGGCGCTGTCCCTCAGCTCTGCAGCTCAAGGCTAGCGCTCTATCACTTGAGCCACAGCACCACTTCCGGCTTTTTTTCTTTTTGCTTATGTGGTGCTGAGGAATCGAACCCAGGGCCTCAGGCATGCAAGGCAAGCGCTCTACCACTGAGCCACCTTCCCAGGCCCTCCACTTCTGCTTTTCTAGTGGTATCTTGGAGATAAGAGTCTCAGGGACTTTCCTGCCTGGGCTGGCTCTGAACCTCAATCCTCAGATCTCAACCACCTAAGTAGCTAGGATTACAGGTGTGAGCCCGGCTAGAATATAATTCTTTATGTCAATGTAGAATATATTTCAGAAGAGTCCATCTATTTTATTCCTCAGAGAAACAACTCCTCTGTCTTAAGACCCTGTACCTGCTGAAGGTGTTGCTCTTATTACTTCAACCGCTTCGGGGAGATCCAGGGGTTGGCTATATACCAGTCGAGAACTCAGAATAAGTTTGCTAGCAGTCTGAAGATTTGCAATTGATGAAGAATGTGGCATGGGACTCATACTAGGGGAGGTTTCTGGAGACGACTCCACATTCTTCTGTCCAGGGACTGAGAGTAGATTCTCAGATGAAACATTGTCTGAAGATTTTGCTTTGAAAAGAAATGATCAAATTATGACATACATATAAGCTATACATATAAGCTGGAATGATAATTTTTTTTTTGGTTCCGGATTTTCCTGTCCATAATCCTCAATTCTCAGCTTAGAGTAATTAGGATTACAGCCACCTGTGCCTGCAGACTCCTCCTCCCCCACTTTTTTTTTCCTAATGGTAAATTATATTATTAGACCTTTTTTTTTTTTTTTGGTTCCGGTCGTGGGACCTGAACTCTGAGCCTGGGCGCTGTCCCTCAGCTCTTCAGCTCAAGGCTAGCGCTCTACCACTTGAGCCACAACACCACTTCCGGCTTTTTGCTTATGTGGTGCTGAGGAATCGAACCCAGGGCCTCATGCTTGCAAGGCAAGCGCTCTACCACTGAGCCACCTTCCCAGCCCTGGAATGATAATTAATCTTTAAGAATTATGGCTTTTTAGGAGGCAAGGTGAATTTTCAGACTTTTGCTTGGTTACTTTGACAAAGAGCTATTTTTAAAACTATTACATTCCTAATATACATGACTAATGCTTTCACTGGAAACAGTCAAAGGAAAACTAACACCTTACAGCTAAAAAGAAGCTTTTAGTTATGCAGGCCAGTACTGTTAACCTTTTTTTTTTCCCCCATCATGGGGCTTGAATTCTGGGCCTGGGCACTGTCCTTCAGCTCTTCAGCTCAAGGCAGGCGTTCTACCACTTGAGCCACTGTGCCACCTCCAGTTTTCTGGTGGTTAATTGGAGATAAGAGTCTCACAGACTTTCCTGCCTGGGCTGGCTTTGATCCATGATCCTCAAAGCTTAGCCTCCTGAGTAGCTAGGATTACAGGCATGAGCCACCAGCATGTTAACCTTTAAAACACATTAGATTTTGAGCAGTTGTGAAGTGGCTCAAGTGAAGGTAGAACGCAGCCATCTAACAAGTGCAAAGCCCTAAATTCAAACCTCAGTATCACCACTGGGGGTTGAGGGGGATTGTGTGAGAAATGTGGTAACACACAAATTTCAAAGCTAACCCCAAAGCAACCTATCATGTTGATTTGAGATAGATCCCAATAATCTGCAGTTTTCATATGCAGCAGAAGTGTTTCTGAAACAGATGGTACAGAGTCTTTAAATTCATCAACAGACATATAACAACTTCATGATAAAGAAGGCCAAAGATCTAAATAAACTCCTCACCAAAGAAGATAAATAAATGATAAGTAAACATATGAAATAAGGCCTAATAGGGGCTGGGAAGGTGGCTCAGTGGTAGAGCACTTGCCTTGCATGCCTGAGGCCCTCAGCACCACATAAGCAAAAAGAAAAAAGCCAGAAGTGGCGCTGTGGCTCAAGTGGTAGAGTGCTAGCCTTGAGCTGAAGGACAGCCCCCAGGCCCAGAGTTCAGGCCCCACGACCGGGCCCCCCCAAAAAAAAGAAAGAAAGAAAGAAAGAAGGCCTAATAATATAATTTACCATTAGGAAAAAAAAAGTGGGGGAGGAGGAGTCTGCAGGCGTAGGTGGCTGTAATCCTAACTACTCTAAGCTGAGAACTGAGGATTATGGACAGGAAAATCCATGAAACTCTTATCTCCAATTAAGCACCCAAAAAGCCAAAAGTGAAGCTGTGGTTCAAGTGATAGAGCATTAGTCTTGAGCAAAAAAAACTCAAGAACTGCATCCAGGCCCTGAGCTCAAGCCCCAGTACCAGCACCAAAAATAAATAAACAGTCAGCCAGTACAGAACTAGTCCTGAGCATAAAACCTCTGGGGCAGTGACCAGACCCTGAATTCAAGCCCCTGAATTGGCATAGAAAAAATAAAAATAGGAGCTGGGAAGGTGGCTCAAGTGGTAGAGTGCTAGCCTTAGCTTAAGAGCTCAGGGACAGTGGCCAAGCCCAGAATTCAGGCCCCACGACCAACAAAAATAAATAAATGAATTAAATAAATAAAATATACATTTTAAAGGTAGGAATACACAAATCTCATTATCTAGAAATAATGGTTTGACAGAGGCATATTTCAATTAAGCAATTCAATTTATAGTTCATCATAACTTTATTTGTGAAACAAAGGACAAAGGGCAAACCAATGCAACAGTGATACCCACAAGACACTATGTTGGAAATGAACTTTACAACTTGGGGGAGGGAAAGTAGGACAAAATAAGGGAGTGGGTAACATTATTCAACAGGAAGTATACTGGTTATCTTACTTATGTAACTGTAACCCCTCTGTACATCATCTTAAAATCAAATTTAAGGAAAAAGAATCAACCAATTCTAAAGCACATTCTGTAAAAATAAATTTATTTCTTATTTTTGCATAAAATTATGTAATTACTTACCTAAACATGCTTGCACAGATTTAAGATGAAGGTGCCACATATGGAGAATAGAGTAATTGTTCCTGTCCTTTTCAATTACTACTAGAAAGAACTTTTCTGAAAATGGTGGTGGTCGATATCCTATTGTTCAGAAGGAAAGGATAATTGTGTTACTATTGGACTAGAAAAAAAAAATTTTAAACACTAAATATGCCCATTAATATGCCTCACAGTTGGGAAGGGAATACTGTGTAAGAAAAAAAACAACAACACTACACTTCCAAGGGGAAAACTGTGAGAAAAACCTTTAATTCTCTATCACCACAAGTTAACATCTTACTTCTTATGTTTATCATTGGTCTGGGACAACTGACAAGAAAATTTTTAATACCTCTACCAAATTAACTAGTTTCCTTAAGATAACATAGGGATCTCAGTGCCAATCAAAATAATGATAGCAATGCATAGTTACTTTTCAAAACAAAGTTTTCTAAATATCGTTTCTGGGAAAAAGTCTGATGCAAGTGAACTGTCTTTTAAATGGTAGTTTTCATCCACATGCCTTCTTCATCTTCATCTGACAATTAACTGATGTACCTACCAAGAGTGATGAGAGCATGACTTTGGACAATTCATACTCAATGAGTTTTAAAGATTCAAATAAGCAGCCGGGTGCGGTGGCTCATGCCTATAATCCTAGCTACGCAGGAGGCTGAGATCTGAGGATCATGGTTCAAAGCCAGCCCGGGCAACAAAGTCCATGAGACTCTTATCTCCAGAAAACCAGAAGTGGCTCTATGGGTCAAGCGGTAGAGCACTCGCCTTGAGCTGAAGAATGCAGGGACAGTGCCCAAGCCCAAAGAGTTCAAGCCCCACGACCGACCAAAAAAAAAAAAAAAAAAGATTAACATAAGCAAACTCAGACTCATTTTAAAACATACCTTGTGATGGCTGAAAAAATACTTCTGTTTCCTTTTTCTCCAGATCTTCCTTATGTGGTTTATATCCTATAATGAAGTCTTCTTGAAACACATGAAGCAACTGTGTATTTGAGCCACACTATAAAGATGAAAAAAATTGTTTGCATCTTTAAAAATTCCCTATTTCCCACCTATCATCTCCTCAATACTGGCACAGAAAAAAAACAAATCTAACAAATTTCTTTTTGGTGCAGTCCTGGGGCTTGCACTCAGGCCCTGGGCGCTGTCCCTGAACTGCTTTTGCTCAAGGCTAGCACTCTACCACTTGAGCCATAGCTCCACTTCTAGTGTTTTGCTGGTTAATATGGAGGTTAAGAGTCTCATGGAGGCTAGGAATATGGCTCAGTGATAAAGTGCTTGCCTAGCATGCATGAAGCCCTGGGTTTGATTCCTCAGTACCACATAAACAGAAAAGGCTGGAAGTGGTGTTGTGGCTCAAGTGGTAGAGCGCTAGTCTTGAGCAAAAAGAAGCTCAGGGACAGTGCCCAGGCCCTGAGTTCAAGTCCTAGGACTGGCAAAAAAAGAAGTCTCATGACTTTCCTGCCGTGGCTGGCTTCCAACTGCAATCCTCAGATCTATCTCATCCTCCTAAGTAACTAGGATTAAGGCATGAGCCACTAGCACCCAGCAAAATCTAACAATTTTATATTAATCCACAACTAGAAAAGAAAATGCAGCAGGAAAATTAAAACTATTTCCGAAAAAAAATTACTTCAATGCTATCAAAGCCAAGAGCAGAAGAGCTCTAATACAAACAGATAATCAAGTTTACTTCTTTAAAAGATAGAAAAAAACAAAACAAACATAAATAATACCAACACTTCCTCCACCCCTAAAAAAGGGGGGGGTAAGGGAGGAAGGAAGGGAGGAGAAGGGGGAGGAGAAAGGAAAGGAGAGGGGAGGGGATAGGAGGGGAGGAGAGAGGGGAGAAGAAGAAGAGAGGAAGAAGAGAAGAGGAGGGGGAGAGAAAGAGGGGAAGATGAGGAGGAGAGGAAGAAAACCAGACAGACAAGGCAGAACATTGCCAAGGCTTGTAATCCTAGCTACTTGGGAGGCAGAAATCAGAAGATCAGAGTTCAAGATCTGCCTGAGCAAAAAAGTTCAAGAAACTCTGTATCAACCAATGACTAGACAGCAACACATCTGTCATCCTAGCTTCATGAGGAAGCACAAATAAGAGGATTAATCCAGGCTGCCCCAACATAAATTGAGACCTTATGGTCTCAATTGAGAATGCTGGCCCAACAACTACAAGACCTGACTTCAAACCCAAGACCACCAACCCTGTCCACCTCCCCCTGCCACAAAAACTACAGTTAGTAGTGATCCTCTAACTTTCAGCCCAAAAGTAACACATCTTATGACTGGCTGGCGAAGGCTATGCTAGCAACATAAGGCTCACTGGGCTAATACAGAACAAGTAACTTTTGCAATTCCACTTGAGGACACCAAAAAAAAATTAAAGCCTGAGAAATACCCACTCGAAATCCACCTACTAGACCAAATGTATCAATAATTATGAGGGATTCTATTACGCCACTAATATGACATATTCTGGAGAAATAAATGTACATGTAAATAAGGCAGCTCTCTAGAAGGATGCATGAGACATCCCTGTTAGGGGCTATGCTATATGATCATGTTTTGAGACCACACAGAGAAAAGGAAAGATAACCATAAATGGTTATTTAGAACTATAAGTGAGAATTGAAAGTCAAGAAAAACTCTAGATCCAAATGTAAGTTTATTATGCAAGTATGTCAACAGTTAGATGACTGCCACATAGATTTTAAGAAAAGGAAACAGCTATAATTATCTTGGTACTGAGTGAACAGTCTGTAATCTTAAGAGAATAAAGGAGAGCCAGATCCTTCCTTAGAAGGAACTAAAAGAACTAAAATATTAGGTTAAGCCACTGAATTTTTATGAAAGTTACAGGGTAATTTTAATGTCTGTCCAGGGAGAGACATTCATAGTAAAGGAGGTCACCTCTTCAAGAGAAAAAGAACAAATGAAAGGGTAAAGGTAACATCTTTATGAATACAGAAAGCAGAGAACACAGACATGGTAGTGCACACCTATAATTCAGCACTTGAGAGAGTGGGGAAGCTTCGAAGATCTTGAGTTCCAAACAAGTCTGGGGTACATAGCAAGAACCTGCCTGCCTTACAACTTCCCTCCACACACCTCCTCAAAAAGAAGAAAAAAAAATCAGAGAACATTATAGGAACAAATCTACGATGAGTTTTAGACTGTCATTTATAAAGCCTGTCATTTATCATTGCTTCTGGTTTATAGCCCTTGTATTAAAGACAGCCATGAAGACATGAGAAAAATCTGGAGAAAATGTGAAATGAGGGTTCGCTAAGAAGATGGCTCAGTGGTAGAGTGCTTGCCTTGCATGCATGAGGCCCTGGGTTCGATTCTCAGCACCACATAAGCAAAAAGAAAAAAGCCGAAGTGGGGCTGCGGCTCAAGTGGTAGAGCGCTAGCCTTGAGCTGAAGAGCTGAGGGACAGCACCCAGGCCCAGAGTTCAGTCCCCAAAACCGGACCCCCCCCAAAAAAAAGAAAAGAAAATGTGAAATGAAAGAATGCTGCAGGACTAGGGGGCTGGGAACGTGGCTTAGTGTTTGAATGCTTGCCTAGCATGCAAGAAGCCCTAGGTTCAATTTCTCAGTACCACATCAACAGAAAAAGCCAGAAGTGACACTGTTGCTCAAAGAAGCTCAGGGAGCCGGGCACCAATGGCTCACGTCTGTAATCCTGGCTACTCAGGAGGCTGAGATCTGAGGATCATGGTTCAAAGCCAGGCTGGGCAGGAAAGTCCATGAGACTCTTATCTCCAATAAACTACCAGAAAATCGGAAGTGGTGCTGTGGCTCAAGCTGAAGAACTGAGGGACAGCATTCAGGCCCAGAGTTCAAGCCCCACAACCAACCAAAATAAAAGAAGCTCAGGGGTAGTGCCCAAGCCCTAAGTGCAAGCTCCAGGACTAGCCAAAAAACAAAAAAGGAAAAAACAAAGAATATTGGGCTGACAGTGAGCTATAATAATATCCCGTATAAAAGGTGCAGATGAGTGAAGGATAAATTTAATATCTAGTCCACTAAAATTTAAGGTATCTAAGAGCCCAATCTACTCCTCTTCCAGAAATTAAAGCAAAAGCATGGAACTTCTGGGTGAAATGAATGAAGGCCTTAGCCAGGAATAAGTAGCTCACACCTGTAATCCTAGCTACTAAGGAGGCTGAGATCTGAGTGAGGATTGAGGTTCAGAGCCAGCCCGGGCAAGAATGTGTATGAGATTTTTTTTTTTT